TTTTAATGTTACCTTTGATTTCATTCATTATTTGCTTTTTATCAATTCACGAACCCCCCGTTTGGGAAAACCTGTACTTTCAAATCTACTTCTGTTGTTTGTATGTTATGCCTTGAACGGATAGTTCACCCAAATAATCTGTCATAATTTACTCACCCTCATGTTGTTCCAAACGTGTATGAATTTCTTTCTTCGGTTGAACACAAAATATGAAGTTTTGAAGAATGTTGGTAATCAAACAGTTGATAGGCCCCATTGACTTCCAAAGTGAGAAAAAAATACTATGGAAGTCTGGCTAGTGGCTACCGTCAACTGTCTGGTTACCAACATTCTTTAAAACATCTTCTTTTGTGTTCAACAGAACACAGAAACTCATACAGGTCGGAAACAACATAAGGGTAAGTTAATGATGACAGAATTTACATTTTTGTGTGAACTATTCCTTTAAAGGGTTAGTTCAATAGTAAAATTATGTCATTATTGACTTCGCTCATGTCGTTCCAAGCCCGTAAGACCTCCGTTCATCTTCGGAACACAGTTTAAGATATTTTAGATTTAGTCTGAGAGTTTTCTGTCCCTCCATTGAAAAATGTATGTACGGTATACTGTCCTTGTCCAGAAAGGAAACAAAGACATCATCAAAGTAGTCCATGTGACACCAGTGGGTTAGTTAGAATGTTTTGAAGCATCGAAAATACATTTTGGTCCAAAAATAACAAAAACTATGACTTTATTAAACATTGTATTGTCTTCCGAGAGACATCATTTTCATTTTTGGGTGAACTATTCCTTTAATATTGGCCTCTTTCTGGAAAGCACCGTCACCATCAGCAAAAGAATAAGAGAGCAGGACTTCTGATGTAAATATTGTGTATTCTGAATGATTCTCTTTGAAATGCCCACAAGCTTAATTTAATCAAGGTTTAATTTATGTCTGCAAGTATACAGGACTTGCAATGCTCCAAAGGCCATTAATTCTACTACAGACAGACGTGGGAAGCTTGTTACTGCCTCAACGCCACAATTCACAGACCCGTGAGCATTGAGAATTATTGTTTTTCTGGTCTGTGCATGGCACAAGAATGTCATTGAATACTTGCTCTCAGTTGAAGTGAGTGTATTGTGGATTGGGATACTGCTGTTGCATGTGGGATGTTGCACAGTTTTGCTAGTGAGATTGGGACTCTCCAATATGAAGTGGCCGCTCAGCTAAGTCCCTTTTTGGACCCTGGGCATACTTCCCCTCGCCTTTCCCATAAGCCCCTGGTGCATGGACAAAGTCCCCTTTGTGTGAGTCGTAGCTCTTGGCGAGAGAGCCCACAGCTTTGAAACTTTGTTTGAACGATGCGATTTTCATTTCTATCTGTCCTTTGCGCTCTCTCCCATACTGAACTCACCCATGCTCCCTTTCTCTCCCTCCCTCGCTTGTTCCCTCTGTCCCGGCCCTGCTTAACAACAGCATGAAGTGAGTGTCCGCTGAGGTTTAGTGCTTGGTATCCATAGCAGTGTTGTCTGTATGCATCGCAGGGTCACTTTGTGTGTGGACTTTGAAGAACAGAGTTGGGACAATGAAGTGGCCCAAATGAGTTAAACAGTACTGCCTAGTCATTTCCTGTGAACTGAACATATCTTAAAAATAATCAATAAATGTATACTTTAAACTTTGAGATTTTTTTTTTTTTTTTTTACTTTAAACAATTAACATAATGTATTACAATTTCTCGATACATTCCGTTTCAAAGTTTTAGGGTCTGTAAGATTTTTTTTTTTTAAATGATTTTGAAAGAAGTCTCTATGCTCACCAATGCTGCATTTATTTGATCAAAAATACAGAAACATTATTACAACTTAAAATAACTGTTTATATTTGAATATATTGTACAATTTAATTTATTCCTGTGATGGCGAAGCTGAATTTGCAGCATAATTTCCAGTCTTTAGTGTCTCACGATGCTTCAGAAATCATTATAATATACTGAATTGGTGCTCAAGAAACATTTCTTGTTATTATCAATGTTTAAAACAGCTGTGCTGCTTATTTTTATGTATTTTATTTCATTTTAATATTTTTATGGAGACTTAATTATTTGACAGAATTTATTTGAAATAGAACTCTTTTGTCACATAATAAATTACTGACACTTTTGATTAGCTTATTGGATCCTTGCTGAATAAAAGTATTAATTTCTTAAAAATACTGAACCTCATGGTAGACTAACAAGGCAAAATCTCTGTATATTAGTTGGCACATTTTTATAGTCTCAGTTACAGTGTTTTGATTTGTAAACTCATGATAGTGTTCAATATGAACAAAGGTGTCGTAGGTTATGGTATTATATAAATGTTGGAATTACTGATGTTTTGTGGCTAGTGTAGTTTTAAAGTTTCTTCTCATTCTGTTATCACTTTTACAGGTGCAGATAACATCTCTGACATGTCTTTCACCATATCAGAAGCAATAAAATTTGAGGAAAATACTGGCTTTGGAAAGCTAGTGTTATATCCAGCACTTCTATCCACTCAGATACTGTAGTTTAATAACCTTTTCAAAGAAACACAAGCGCTTAATAGATAGTAATTCAGTCTGGAGGTTTCGTCACAAATCAGACTGATTCAGTGCAGAACTGCACAATCAGATTAACCATTTACTCAAACAGCATTGTTTCCATGATGTTTATTTTGATGTTATCAACATTAGAAGATGTCAACTCGAGCCAATGACATCAGCAATGGACGTTGAATCAGAGGACAGTTTCTCTTTTTATTACAGTATACGAAATGCCTATGACAGGTTATTCACACTGAGCTAGTGCTACATACGTCACATACCAATTTTTCCTGAGTAGATATTGAGTAATAGGGAAAGGAATTGAAGAAAAGTCACCATGACCGTTCACCTTACACAAGTCTCTGAAAAATATTAAAATGTCCAGTTCTATTTTGTTTGATTATGCAAATTATATAAAAAACTGTGTTTATTCCATAGACTGTATAAAACAATGGACGTAGTGTCAGAGATGCAGGTTTCTGAAGAGCATTTTTGAAGCCCAAAGTGGGCAGAGCTGGCCGTCGCCATCTTGGCAGCCCGTCACTCCCGGATAACCGAAAATGGGCAAAGTGGCGGGATTAGCTGAGGTGACGAGACGGCTAACAGACAGCAGACAAGCGGCTAGTAGTGACAGCAGCGGCAATCCACCTGTCACGCCCTTTATTATGCTGAACTTTAAGGCTTAATATAATTTAAACGGATAAGTTATAAAACAATTCACCCCCTTCACAGTTGTCATGAAGGGCAAAATTAGCTATAAACCACTTTTTGTACCAGGCTGTAAAAAAAAATTCTGCTGTGCTGTAAAGTTGGGCATTTTAACATGGGATGGACTCTCTTTTGTAACCTGTCTCTAGCGGCCAGTTGATGAATTGCAGTTTAAGTCACTTCCGTGTTGGATTCAAGAGAGAGAGACCGAAAGGTTGCCGCTTGGTTTATTCACTTATTTTTAGTGTTTGTTAGCCTATAGCGAGCATTTTAAGATGCACTTCATGGGGTAACATCTGTGCATTTGTATAAATAAATCTATAAATAAATGTTTTAAAATAAATAAATGTTTTTCTTAAAAAAATTAAGTAGTAGTAGTGTGTATTATCAAGGATGAATCAACATGAATAAATTGGCTACACCAATTAAAATACATTTTAAATGTTAGGTCAGAAAACAAACATTCACTTTTACAGTGAATTTTAATGCCAGATTTTGTCAGTTTTAATGATGAACCTTTAATGATGAACTCAATTAAAAAAATGAGCTTTATTTAGATTGATCATTACCCCTAGTGAAAAATAAATATACCAAATGTATTTTAAAAAAACATTTATTTTATGCTTGGTATCCTACAAATACATTTACATATTTATACACTTAAAATAAATACCCTGCAATTGTACTGTTGGTATACTAAACTGATTTACTTAAAATCTGCTAAATTGGAACAACTAATTTTGTACTTTAAAGGGTCAGTTCACCCAAAAAAATGAAATTTCGTGAAATCAAGTGTCCTTTAGGTACACTTTACCTAATTTAAAGATCTTATACAGAGATCATTCTATTGTTACTAAGAGTGATATTTAAACACATTTTATTCTTAATATTAAGAAATGTGCATTGTGCAATACCGAAGTACTCCAAATCAATTTTAATTATAATATTTATATCAGTAAGTCTGTCAGTAAATATGCCAATGCTTTTGTAGTATACTTAGTATGAAACAAACGTATTTTAAATACATTTTGGTAAATATTCTTTTTCACTAGGGACTGTTTACTCTTTTCCACAAGAACTAATAAATATTCAAATTAGAAAACAAGAGAGAAGGGAAGTGAGGCCCTCTTGTGAAGAATGAACAGTTTGTGAAACATTTCCTAATTGTTAATGAGGGGCTCAGGGCAAGGTGCCAAAGTCGGAGGGCCAATGGCGAGGGGGTACAGCCGGAGCAGCCGATGGGCGGGCTGTTGCTCTGGGGTGACAAGTGGGACCCGCTTTTAACTACCTAGGTGTCACTGGTAGAGTGGGGTGCACAGGATAGCAGACAACACAGAGGATCTCTAATGACGGTCTGAGTGCTGCTTGTCTGCGTGGGGTCTCGTGTCTTTGACCTCCCTCCCACTCTCAGCCATCCTCACCAGCTTTGATCGTGTTCTGGGGAACTAAAGTGTTTTTAAAGAGGGTTTTAGGATGGATGCATCAGATAATAACCTGGAGAACATGTCTGAGAACAATAATGTGGAGAAGAGTGAGGCTGGAGAGGAGGTGAAGATGGAATCTGAGTCCAATCAGGATGTGGACCCAGATTCAGACCTGTCTGCGGTCAAGATTCCTCCTCCACCTGAGCCAACTCCCTCTGGAGAAAAACTGGATATCTGGCCTAATGGCATAAGTGATGGCAAGCTGGAAATATGCAGGACTGTACCTGTGCCTCTGACCCGCAGTATTTTTCCTGTTGCAGTTTCACCTGCTGCGGAGCGCATCCGATTCATGCTGGGAGAGGACGATGACAGTCCAGCGCCTCCTCAGCTCTTCACAGAGCTGGACGAGCTACTGTCTGTTGATGGCCAGGAGATGGAGTGGAAGGAAACTGCCAGGTAAGAAGAGCCTTGTGTCTTTGCTGGGACTCAAAAAGGGACCAGGGCTATTAGCAGGAACTAGGTGTTGAAAAAAGCTAAGGTTCCCTGAATATTTATTTGTTTCCAATAGTATTATTTTATCTCATGTTTTGCCCAAATTTTATTAATTTTAAATTTGCAAACAGTACTCATTTTTTGGAGGAATTATAAGTAAATTTATAAGTTTGGGGTCATTTAAGGGTTAAAAAAAGAAAAGAAATATATACTTTCTATTCAGCAAGGATGCATTAAAAATATTTCTATTTTAAAATGTTTTTTTTTCAGCATTTTAGAATGATTTCTGAAGGATCATGTGACACTGAAGTGAGTTGTAATGGCTGCTGACAATTCAGCCTTCCCATAACAGGAATAAATGGCAATATTTTACAATATTATCTTTTTTGTTGTATTTTTGATCAAATAAATGCAGCCTTGGTGAACATAAGAATCTTCTTTCAAAAACATAATTGTTCAGATCCCAAACTTTTAAATGGTAGTGCATTTTTAGAGAAGATGGGAAAATAGTACACTTATGTTCTGTTTGCTTTATAGACCGCTTCAATTACTCTTGCAGACTTGTTATACAGGCTCCATACAATTCATCAAAACAGCATTCAAGTGTACTGGCTCATTGCCAATGACTGCTTGGTGCCAGTATCTGAAGACATTTGAAATGCTTGACAGTGTCTAAAGGGATGTTTGCCACCTGATTATTTTTTAGGGAATGGTGTGAATCAATTTAGAAATATTACATTTATGCTTTCAGCTGACACTCAAGCATTTAACAGACACTGTTGCTTTAAATCCCTGTGATCATGAGTTCATTTGAGCAGAAAACTTGGTCGCTGATGAAGGACGAGTCTTGCATGCAGCACACATCAATTATGGAGCTGTGCTGCTCTTGAATGGGTTTGATCATTCAATGAGAGGGGCAGTTTCATGTTAAATTGAGTAGCACTCCAGGTGGTCCCCAATCAGTGGCCATTATCACATGCCACAGCGGCCATTTAACAGATCACTACGAATGAGTACAGGAATTATTACTGCTGATCTTTTCATTTTCAATCAAGACTTTATTTGAGAGATTGTTTTAGAGATGAGATTACAGCCTGTTTGTGTTTTTTAGGATTAGAGATTGCAAATTTAATCCTTTCAAGCAGGGTCATCAATTTGAATAAACAAAGTTTTACAGGAGGAAACATTAGAGCTCAACATGAGGGCTGTTTTAGACTTTAGTTTGATGTCTGGGACTGGATTTTGTCTCTGATACAGTAGATTTAAGAATATGTAGTTTGGGTTCAGTATGTTTTTTTTTGTTTTTTATTAAAGGTCCCATGACATGAAATTGTCACTTTCTGAGGTTTTTTAACATTAATATGAGTTCCCCTAGCCTGTATCCCCCAGTGGCTAGAAATTTCAATCGGTGTAAACCGAGCTTTGGCTATCTTTCTCTGCCTTTGAGAAAATGAAAGCTCAGACGGGCTGATCTTGAATCTCCTCCGTATGACGTCATTCGGAGGAAAAGTAACCTCCCCTTTCGCTGCTTTGCCCGCCCAGAGAATTTGGCTCGCCCATGAGAAAATGAGCTAGGAAGTACGAATGCGCGAGCGCGATTTGAGTATTTTTCCTCGAGAGATATCATGGCTTGCAAACGAGCGAACTGCATGGCAGTTGATCAGTGTTCGGATGTACAAATGAACACAAAAGTATTTTTTAGTTCCTTTATCCGAGCCTCTGAAGAAACAATGGGTTAGTTTTACTTTCTCTGGAAATGCGCCGACACAACTTCCCAAAGTTTTGTATGGTCCAAACATTTCACCGACGACTGTTTCCTCAACTTGGGCCAATACAGAGCTGGCCTCGATGAACGTCTGAAAATAAATCGACCGAGCTACCAAGCAACAATTTCTGTGTAGCCTAATTGTTCAAGTTAAGACAGGTAATCTTTCTCTCAAAATCGTTCAATACGGTTTATGCATAAGTCAAGCCAGTGACTAAAATATCAACTTCACATCGTTTCTTTTAGTAGGATGAAAATAATCTAATTTAACAATTTAAATTGTGAACAAATTATATACAGAAAGCGATCAAAGAACAATCTTTCCACACAGCGCGAGTTTATCTGGACAACTCGTTATGAAATCAATGATGCACGTTACACTGCACAACGAAGCTCTTACTGTATGTACATCATCGTGTTTGCATTGGTGAAAGCAGAGAGAGTGCAGAAACTGCGTTGCAATGATAAGATCTTCATTCTCGCGATCAACACACTGTCATCTGCTCAATGCTCATCACGGCAACATTTTATGTGATGGGAATAGATCTAAATACTTTAAAAACTTCTCACAATTCGTTAATCTCGATAGCTGTAATAGTAAAAACGTATAATAGCTGTAGTAAAAGTATTCGAGAGAGTTTCACATGTAATACGTAGCTCTTTCATATGCAAGCATGTCAGCCAATCACAGCTGTGGGCGGTTCCACTGAATCCCACAGCAGACACGCCCCTTCAGACAGAGCGTTCAAATCAGAGGCTAAAATCAGGCTAGGAAAAATGCCTTTTATTTCTAAATTATGACTATTTTTGATCTAAAAAACATACTAACATTATAAGGGCAACCCAGGAAACATTATAAAGTAACAAAATAACCCCATGTCATGGGACCTTTAATACTATTATTCATCAAGGATGCATTAAATTGAATACGGTTGTTTTAAACTTTCTATTCTTCAAAGAATCCTGAAAAATGTCTCTGTATCTCAATTTCCACAAAAATATTAACAAGCACAACCGTTTTTAACTGTGATAATAACCAAATACATTTTCAATCAATGATCGGTTTACTTCCGCATTGCACTTTCATACAGAACTGTTCACATGAGACTTGATTTGAGCTTCATTACCTTCAAGTCTCTGTTGTTTCTTCTACTAAGGTGGATCAAGTTTGAAGAGAAGGTGGAAAAAGGTGGGGAGCGATGGAGTAAACCACATGTGGCCACTCTGTCCCTACATAGTCTCTTTGAACTTAGGACGTGTATAGAGAAGGGCACCATCATGCTGGACCTAGAGGCCTCCACACTGCCAGGGGTCGTTGGTAAGCTTTTCCTCTGCAGACATTTTGGGCTTTGACTGTCCTGCTTAGTCAGAGGATAATTAACTTCGACTGTTGTGGATGCTCTGATTACAAATGTAAAGTCTCTATGGCACTCAAATACCCTTTTCCCACCAAAATGGAATCAATGTGAACTCAAATTGAGTGACCCACTGATTTAAGAGCAGAACAATGATGTAACTGATTACATTATAACGAGTTTTGAAAACAAATATTTTCTTTGACTTTTTATTACCTCCAAAATAATTCACTTCAGTTTCTTCATTCAACCTAGATTCAATAAAGTAAAATGTATTGCAGTCAGTTTACACGTGATGTTTATGTATAAGACTATCATTTTATTTTAGACAGACCAGGTAAATAAGGCTGGAAGATAATTTAACATTATGATAACATTTTGAGCTGCCTTTTCTGTAGTGAAAGCATGCAGAATGGTTGCATGATCTCTGGCACCCTGTCAGTGGACAAAGGGCAAAAGAAAGATCATAAAGATAACACTTGAGATCAGATCAGACTCAGAGAAAAAAAACCTTTCCAAATGAACCTCAGTACGGACTGAGATACAGCACGTGTAATGTGCATTCACTGTCTCGGCCAGCACAGCCCATCTATTTATTCGCTTTCCAAACGCTCACATGTCAGGATGCATTCATTGCTCTGTTTAATACACTCCTCTCTCAACCTCCGCTGTAACTCTGGGTTCAGATGCACGGGTGGTTGCATCCATTCAGGGCGGCCATTTCTTTTATACTGAATTCTGACAGAGCGTGAGGAAGATCAGGTTGAAAATTGTGTGGCCGTTAAACAACGCTAGTGCACTGTTAGCAAAGTATGTGAATCTGGTCATTTTTTTCATAAGAGCTTCCTTAGAGGATTGATTGAAAAAATGAGTCATTTACTGCAGCTGTCTGGATTTAAGATGGCTGGTTAGAGATTGTAACCACTGCCACCAATCAAGTGAGATTTATTAATTCACATTCTTGAATCTCATACCCGTAGCTCTTACTCAGAGCATGATGTGTCAAGTCCTATTATCAATTTGCAGTAAATCTTAAGTTTGGCTGAGATAAGCTCAGTCAACCTCATAGAGCGCCTTTTGAGATAAAAATGAATTGAAGGATCAGCCATTAAGGGCCAAACCATTCACAAAAAGGGCCTGAGGGCCCAGGCCTCGTGTCTTTGACCCTCTTTTATAAAAATAGATGCTTACAGGAACCACCAGACAATCTTATGCACAAGCCACTGCCTCATTAGAAGTCCACTTCTAAAGGCTAAGAATAGAACGCAATGTGTCGCTTCACTGAGAGTTTAATTTCAAGTTCTAGTTAAAAGTTTTAAGAACAGAGTTATGTAAAGTTGATATTTAAATGAAAGAAAATTGCTCTGTTGTGCAATGAGCTCCTCAAAATCTGTAGAAGGGAAATAACCATTTGGCAGGTGTCTTCTAACCCTCATTTAGCTTTCTCACGGTCTACCTGTCTCTGTTTGCTATTCACTCTGTTTCTTTCAGAAATGATCACTGACAGTCAGATTGAGAATGGTCTCTTGAAAGCTGACCTGAAAGATAAGGTCATGTACACCTTGCTGAGGAAGCATCGCCACCAGACTAAGAAGTCCAATCTTCGCTCTTTGGCTGACATTGGCAAGACGGTCTCCAGTGCAAGTAGGCTGTTTTCCACCCCGGATAATGGTAATATGGGTGCCAGTTTGGTGCAGTTATTCCTCCTCCTTTTTAAGCTATTAATATATTTTTTTATCTATTTTTATTTTTTTAAATTTTTTATGTGGATTTTGTGGATTGTTTTCTTCACACTTAGAATTTTTTTTAAAGTATTTTTGCCTTTTTTGATTTTGTGTTTTGAATTTTATTGTGTTATTCACAAAGATAACTGAACCAATTTTTTTTCGTTTTACTTTATTTTGAAGATTTACATCACAACCTTTTACAGATTTGATAGCATCTGTCACATAGTTTTCGAATATTAAAAATGTGTTTCTAATGAATGTTTTACTAATTTGCATATAAAGTAGTTGTCTCCATGTTTTAAAGACTCCATGGAATCACTTGAAATTGTGATGACATATGCTACCATTCAAAAGATTTTTATTTATTTTGTATTTTAAAAGAAATTAATACTTTCATTTAGCAGGGATGCATTTATATGATCCAAAGTGTAAGCGGATTTAAGATACAAATAATTTCTATTTTGAGTAAATTCTGTTCTTTTGAACTTATATTGATGTATTCATCAAAGAATCCTGAAAAAAAGTATCACAGTTTCCACAAAATCACAAATCCGCACAACTGTTTTCAATTTCAACATTGATAGTGATTTCTGAAGGATCATGTGACACTGAAGACTTTATAGTAATGGCTGCTGAAAATTCTGATATATTTAAATGATTTTAAATTGTAATAGTTCACAATATAATTTTTTTTTATTTTTTTTGGTAAAATAAATGCAGTCTTGGTGAGCATAAGATACTTCTTTCATAAACATAAAAAATCTTACCAACGCCAAACTTTTGAACAGTAGTATATTTTCTGTTATAACAGTAGGTTTGGGTATGACATATTAAAGGGATTATATGTTTTTAATAACCAGTAGGCTTTAGTTATGTCACAGCTATTAACATTATTTGCCACTTGCTAGTCAGGAACAGGTCGAATTGGGGGGAGGGGCATTCTCATTCTGGAGAGCGTTTTATTGGACAAAAAACTGTGTAGGTAAGGATGAGTCATTAATATCTGTTAAAGATCAATTTTGGCTTTTTAAGGAGTACAAACACATATAGACAAAGCTAGTAGACATGGAAAGAGTTCATGGGGTCTTTAAATAGTAACTCGTTCCTTGTCAGTCCTTGATATTTTTTAGTCTGTCCTGTCTCTGTCTCCATGTTTTTCAGTGATGCACATTGCACACAATATGCTGTTGCGTTACATTGTTGAGAATCTAAACCGTTATGAACTGGTGAACTAATGAACTAATCTGAGATCTAATCTAATGAACTAATCTGAGAAATATAAGATGATACAACACTTCAAATAAGGGTCAAGTGGATCATTCGATTGTTGGCAGTAATATTCACATTATTTCAGTTAAGACAAATACTGTAGTGCATTGATAAAAAAAATACACAAACATCATGATTCGATTGATGGTCAGGCTACAAATGCACAGGTTTTTTTAGGGGTCGACCGATTATCGGTGCCGATATTAAGCATTTTTATGGTTATCGGTATCGGCCATTTTCAAAACCGATTTGCCGATAAAATAATTTTATTTTGAAATGCACTATATTTGGCTCTAACGCAGCCACATCTGTCGGAACTCACCACTCTGTAGACTAGACTAATGTCCCCGCACATCTGATTTGTTGGGAGTCACGAGTCCGGCCAATCAACGTGGAAAGCTGAAGGCACTGAAAGTTTTGCACTCTCACACCGAAAGCACTTGTTGACTGGAGCTGCTTCACTGATCATCAGTTGTCTCTCAAACTTAAGGCAGCAGCAGACTTTGCTGAAGAAGCAATAAATTACTACACTGAAGTTGCAAAATACCTCAATAATAGAGCCCTGTGATTTCCGCAATGCAGAAAACAGACGAAATCCAGTCATAAAAACGGAATTTACTGTATTAAGCGAAATATCACGGAATTTGTCAACTTTTTGATGAATTAATAAAAAGCAGGTCAGTACAAATCAAATCGAATTTCAAACCGCAAAAAGACTATTTAAATATGAATCCTGCGTGTCTCTAAATGAATGGCGCAGATGCGTGATTTCATTTACCACACACACATGATGCGGCTGTGGCTGAAAACAGCACAAGTGTCACGCACAAGTGGAGCACGCGTGACACTTGTGCTGTTTTCAACCTCAGCCGCATCATTATATGAGGACATGATTGCATAAACATCATCTCCAGAGTCGCGTAGTCACTTCATGAGCTTTTTAATGCTTCAACTGAGAAAAGTTATCGTCATATCATAAACGCACAGAAACTCAAAGATCTCCATGGGAACCTTTCAAAATAAAAGTTCGGTTTTTCATAGGGCCCTAAAAAGGTAATTTTTGTTAAACTAAATAAATTGAATAAGTTTGATGATTTCTATTAATTAGAAATGCTTTTTGATTACTAAAATTTAATTTAAGCATTAAAATAGAGTCTTTAAGTTTTACAAAATGTTTACAGAATGCTGCTGGGTGCTCCCTGCACTTTTTAAGTTATTATTATTATTAATAACAGTTCTCAGATTCAAAGATATGTTTAAAATCATTTAAAGAAAGTATTTGTCAAAATCCTTTGTTATTCTTGATTTTGACATTAATTTACATTTTTACACCAGACATACTGTATATCGGTTCAAAATATCGGTTATCGGTCTATTTGATCTGTAATAATCGGTATCGGCATCGGCCCTGAAAATCACATATCGGTCGACCCCCAGGTTTTATACCATGAATCCTGTGATTCATTGACCAATGGACTTTTTGAATGTGACAAATGTTATTCACTAGAACTTTTATATTCCCTTAACTCCCCTACCTTCTTAACAAATGTTTCTTTTCTACCTTCTCTTTTTCTGAGCAATGTGTGAGATTTTACTGCAGTCTCACACAATCTTTTACAAAACTAGCTAAACTTTATACCTATAACCACTGGTATGACCTCTATCACCTTAACAATCTTTCTTTTCACCCTTCTTACCATCTTTTATCCTCTGGATGCTCTGCTGCACTTGTCACTAAAAGCACGTAATCCACTTGAGAGTTCAGTGCCTTGTCTAATGACTCGCACCTCTGAGGAGGTGTTGCGAGTCCCTGGAAGTCCAAGCATGGGATGGCCTAGTAAGTTTCAACTTACCAGTTGCCAATGTGTGTATGTGTCTCACCCCACATAGTGTGTTAAGTCCAAAGTATACTTAAAGGGATACTCCACCGTTTTTTCATATTAAACTATGTTATTCACTTATCTAAGACGAGTTGATACATACCTCTCTCGTCTCAGTGCGTGCACTGAATCGCTCTGTCGGGCGGAGAACTTTGAGAGCAGTTAGCTTAGCCCCATTCATTGTATATGGGCCAAACAGAGATGAAGTTAGAAGCGACCAAACACATCCACGTTTTCTCTATTTAAATATAGTTACACGAGTAGTTACACGACCAAGTATGGTGACACTAAATAAAATGTGGCACTTTTTATAAGCGAGTAAAATGGATAACTATAATGTATGGCGGAATAGCACTTATTGGGAGCACTTCGACTCGGCGCTGTAATATCTTCACTCGTGAAAAGTCCTCTCCCCCTCCCCTCTCCCTCTCCCTGATACTTCGTCAACTCTGCACAAAAAACTACTAGGCTACTACTGCAGGCGTGCAGGTCATGTTGGTTCTATTGACGGAAATGACAGGGAGAGGTAGAGGGAGAGGGGGGAGAGGACTTTTCACGAGTGAAGATATTACAGCGCGAGTCGAAGTGCTCCCAATAAGTGCTATTCCGCCATACATTATAGTTATCCATTTTACCCGCTTATAAAAAGCGCCACATTTTATTTAGTGTCACCATACTTGGTCGTGTAACTACTCGTGTAACTATATTTAAATAGAGAAAACGTGGATGTGTTTGGTCGCTTCTAACTTCATCTCTGTTTGGCCCATATACAATGAATGGGGCTAAGCTAACTGCTCTCAAAGTTCTCCGCCCGACAGAGCGATTCAGTGCACGCACTGAGACGAGAGAGGTATGTATCAACTCGTCTTAGATAAGTGAATAACATAGTTTAATATGAAAAAACGGTGGAGTATCCCTTTAAGTAGGGTATGCGTACAGTTCACATGGTGTGAATTGCATCATCAGCATAGTACAAATGATTTTGTCCACAAGGTGGCAACTCTTCCCTGGCCCATTGTTTCACAGTTGAAAAATAACTGGCTGAGACGGAACAACAACAAAGATGGCAACACCAATAGATGGCCACGTTGACGATTGCTTGTGTGAGGGGGTTAAAAGAAACCCATCAACTTTAGTTTTAATGAGTACAAAGACATTTTATCGGACACCGGACAAGGATAAACTTTCTAGTGCGCATGAGTTTGACCGCCTGTGTTCGCTTACACTATTAAATGGAGTATACTTTAAAAGGCTATGCATTTGGCTGTACTCTCATACACTAGCCTCCACAGTGATAAACTGGAGTATACTTTGGGCTTAACATTGATGTGATAGAATAGCATGGTAGCATGGTAGATTAAAAGGGTCAGATCTTCTTAGATCTTTTGAAGAGTTCATTTAAACTCTTCATTCAACAGTGAGTTTTCTCAGCGATGCCATAGAAGATTCATTTTTGGTTCCTCAAAGAACTTTTCAGTCAACGGTTCTTTAAAGAACCCTTTTAAGTCTAAAGAATATTAACATCTGAATAACCTTTTCCCACTATAATAATAATAATTCGTTACATTTATATAGCGCTTTTCTATGTACTCAAAGCGCTTTACATATGGAAGGGGGAATCTATAAAGAACCTATTGTACAATGGAAAGGTTACATGGATGTTAAAGGAACTGTTAATGCCAATAAAGAACATTAATTTTAAAGATTGTATGAAATGACCCTTCTAAAGTTTTTACCATGTTACCAATTTTTTTTTATGTGTTGTTGTGGCTATCTGTGTTTAACTAGTCAGTCCTGTGATCATTGTTATGTAGTGTATTGTCATATCTAGAATTTCCCATTATGGTTATCTTCACCCTTAATAGATGTCAATGCCAAAGTCTTTTAATAATCACATTGGACTCATTTATGTGGAACTTTCCACTGGAGATCATCATATCATCATGACTATAACCTTATTATTTAACAGCTCTGATCAGATAATGTAGGATTTATGAAGGTGGATGTGAAATCTCTTTTTTTTTTCTTCAATGTACTATTCTTTCTTTGTAAGTGATTCATAACTTTTTTTTTGGCTACTTTTTTCTTCTTCTTTTGGCTGCATCAAACTGACATCTTATTCATTATAGCACAAGAATCCTGGTCAGTAATAGTGCTGACAGGTTTTCTGTGACATTTTAAAATTCTTTGCTTCACTGTGCTTGCCCTGTTCTCCTGCACATGCTGTTCACAGCATGATGACAATGACTTGGGCTCTGAAAGGTTAATAGTTAACCTTTCAGTAGATTCCTTTCTCTCCTGGCACATCACCTTTCCTAATTTATTTTATTCTATGGACTCAAGGAATTTAGAGCCTATAAAATATTCATATTCTGTAAAGTGTTGTCAGTCCCATTAGTTCCCCATTAGTTTATTCTGACATGCAAAATGCTCTTGCTTATTCTGAATTTGGGTTTCTCTGTTGACCTCTTTTAAAGTTTGTTTTTAAAATAATGTCTTTTTTATTGAACCATTGTCTTTCTCAGGTAGCCCAACCACTACACATCGCAACTTGACATCAAGCAGCTTGAACGATATCTCAGACAAGCCAGAGAAAGACCAGGTGAGTCAAATTTATATACCAAATGCCTTAATGGGATAGTTCACCCAAAAATGAAAATTAGCCCATGATTTACTCACCTGAAGCCATCCTAGGTGTATATGACATTCTTCTTTCAGACGAATATCAGAGTTATATAAAAAAAAATGTCCTGGCTCTTCCAAGCCTTATAATGGGAGTCGATGGGTATATTTTCTTTGGAAATCCTATCCATCCGTGATAAAATTGCTCGAAACCTATGTACCCTCCATGTACCTATGTACAATAACATACCGATGTCCAGCAATCGATTTAAATAGTACATTGTGTTTAATTTGTAATGACAATGACATGCATGCACTTTAATGGTCCAGTGGCAGAAATTTTGCCAAGCGTGTCAGAGGTTCTGGGTTCTAATCCGCACTCGTATAGTTTTTTGTTTTTTTCTCTCTCATTGAAACCGATTATGTTTATCAGTGGTTGTATATCAAGCAGGGACGCGTTTGTGTGCATTTTACTTTGTGATTTCACCAGAACGAATAGAGAGTCTCCGCAACGGATTAAAGCGCGCGTTCGAGTTCAAAATTGGTGGGGAGTGGGGACAATATCGACCCTGGCAAAAAGTGGTGGGGACATGTCCCACCCGTCCCACCCGCAAATTACGCCAATGCGTTATAACCGGTTATAACTGACGTTTGAAACACTGTAAATGCGTCTGCCAAATGAATAAATGTAACATAAGAATAGACTGATATGTCCCACATTGGAGTGTTAATATATTTTGATGGGTTGTACTCTTCAGCAGCTTTGCTGTGAATGTAGTAGCCATAGACTGTAAAAAGTAGCCTAGCCTGCCAGTCGATCTTGTAACGTTACAGATAGCTGAGGCTGCTTTGCTGAAGAGGCGCGTCCACTGGCCGGCTCAGTCTCACACAAAGCCCGCCCTTTTACCCATATATGGATTGGCCAGAAGGTGGGCGGGGTTAGGATTTCCCAAGATTTTCAAAAGATGGCGCCGCCCATACCACCCATAAACGGCCTCAAAACCGTTATTTAGAAATTCTATGGGTGACGTCACAGACGCTTTGTCCATTTTTTTTACAGTCTATGTTTGAACCGCGAGAGGCATCAAAGCTTACGCTACTCCTACGTCATACATCGTCAAGTGTTACTCTTTTTGGCGTAGGTCAACTTGCGTTCGGCCGTCTGCCCGAAGCTAGTTATTTTAGTCGATAAAGTTTTAAATATGGATATTTTTCTTACACGAACACATCGCTTCATTTCAGAAGGCCTTTATTAACCCTCGCAGAGCCGTGTCGAGCAGTTTAGTCACAGATGGATGCGCTTTGATTGACTTCCAATTATCAAAGCCTTATAACTCCCATTATAGGGAGTTATAAGGCTTTGATAGAGCCAGGACATTTTTTATTATAACTCCGATTGTATTTGTCTGAAAGAAGAATGTCATATACACCTAGTATGGATTCAGGGTGAGTAAATCAAGGAGGGAAGTAAATTATTTGTTTCCATAAAAATATGAAGCCACGTTACAGTTTTTAACATTAGTAATATTAAGAAACGTTGGTAAAGCTTTACAATAAGGTCTAATTTGTTAACATTAGTTTATGTATTAACTAACATGAACTAACAATGAGCAATGCTTTTGTTACAATATTTATCCAGCCGGTTGTTATCTCAGAATAAACACAGACAGGGTGATCAGGACCCCGACGCATCAGCCTGAAAGGGGTTTATTCTAAAATAACAACCGGCTGGATGTACATTATACTGCTTATTACACAGCTACTTGCCACATAAATAAATAATTAGACACGAAATATTATATATTATAATATGAGTTGAAATATTTTATTAGGTCTTTAAACGTAAAGCTTCCTTGGAGAGAGCAGTTGCTATAGCGTGGCAAGTTCAAACTGGACGGACAGTGATACGGAATACAGTCATACCATTTATTACACAGCATTTCATCACATAAATAGTTATGGGGATAAGAGATATTGATTTGAGATTAAATTGTTTTAAAATCGTACCTGTTTGCACTTTATAATCCAACAGTGTACAAAACAATAGTCGCAAAATGGCAGAAGCTACGTTTGTATGAAACAAACGAGAGCGAATCCACAATACTGGATGACAATTAAATAACTGTACACAAAATATTGATTTGACTGAGTTTTAATATTTTATTAGTTCACCAAACGAAGTAAAAGAGTCTTCTTTTAGTCATCTTCATCTATATAGCGCTTTTAACAATGTAGATATTTCAAAGCAGCTTTACAGAGATAAACATACAATTTACGTAGGGCTGGGCCATAAATCGATTTTATCGATTAACTCGAATGTGTAGTTTACGCCGATTTTTTTTTAATGAAAATCGGTTCTCTTTTTTTTTTTTTTATTCAATGCCACAAGAACAGAGGTATCGGTTTTCTCTTTAACAACCGCCGACGCGCCAATCTGACAACATGGCGATGCACAAACAACGACACGACGATACACAAACAACATGGCAAGATGTGTGAACAAGACCGCGGCAGCAGAAGCACACCCGCCGAAAACATTTACAAACTGAATCTGCAGGGCAGCCAACTCTCACGAGTTCACAGAGACGCAATTGTCATTTTTTACACGCTCTCACGCACACATCCATTTTCTAACGCAGAGAAACATCGCGCAGAAAAGATCAAGAGGACACTGACACCGACAGACAAGACAGAGCAGGTTACTATTGATATGAAACAGATTCTCAGCTCTCAGATTCGGTCAATTTTAATACGAAATTCAAACAATAAACACAGACAGTTTTGGCGCTTGTAAATGTGACGTGAAAGATCGCTGACAGATCTCAGTTCAAGCGGCACATGAACCGATCATCTGTTACTCTTCTTTACTAAGTACTAACTTACCCAAATGTAGCTAATAAAATCGACCGATCAGTCTTTTTCAACCGCGGAAAGATGTCCATAAAACAGCTGGAGAACAACATATGTCACGCAACGTTACATTTACCTCAGGATGCCTTTTAATGACCCATAGTCCCATAGCACGCATGTTAGTTGGACTTAAAATAATTGCTATAGAGAGGAGTATTTTGCTAAATATGATAACTATATTACACATTTATTATATTTTACCTATATCATTAAAATATTATAACGTTGTTTGTTATTATAAAAAACGCATTGTTTAATTTGAGTTAGTTTTAACCTTTAATAATAATAGCTGACAGGGCTCTCTGTATGTTTACAGCATAGGTGATTTATTTTTGGAGAACAATTAACATAACACATTAACGTATCTACTGTACCTAATATTTATCCAAAGGAATTGATATTGAATCAATATCAGAATCAAAATCACAAGAATTGAAATTTGTGTTAAGCAATAATAAAAACAGTAGCATACCAGTCTTTTTGTACCATGTAAACATTGTGTTTATAGTTAATAAACTTGATACAATTATGTTTAGCTACCAAATAATTTGACAATCACAATAAACTTATTGTGATGCAAGTTTTTTTTTTTTTTTACACATCCCCTCAATCCACCCATTTTATGTTATGTTACATTTAGGCTACACTATTTACAATGACAGGGCCTGCCCTCTCGTCTTTTTGGCTTGTTGTTTCTGATTACACTTTAATCCAGATAATATCACAGAAGGGAATATCAAAACAAAATAAAGTTAAAACTTGTTTTGAACAATTTCTTTGTCATCTGCAGATTGATTTTAAGTAGGGAGAGAAAAAAAATCGATTTAAATCGTAAATCGGATTTTTTGTGAAAAAATCGGGGATTTTTTTTTTAGGCCATATCGCCCAGCCCTAAATTTACGGTAACAGAGATTGTTTTGGCTTTATAGCGATTTTTGAATAATGTTATTATTTCCAGCTAAAGTTAGTTTTGATTGATTCACTTCCAGCAAAATTATCATTTGTTATCAAATTAGGGGCCACTAAGACGAGAGGCCCCTTTTAAACATTAAACCGCATAAAGAAATATTTTTTATACTCAAATATAAAAATAAAGAGAGAATGTATGGTATCTGTAAATGACTGTAATTTGGATTGCCAAAAAACTTTGCACATAAACAGTCTTTTTTTTTAATATATATATATTGTTTTCCTAATCATAAAATAGGACAGTGCTGTTACATGCACAGCAGACCAAAAGCAGTGGACTTTGTAATTCAAGGACATAGCTGGTGGGAATTACAGACAGGGAAGTTGGTCTCTCATTGAGGGAGCACCAAGAGGTCATAAGGGTGGTGTCAATCTGTGACAAACCGTAAAAATTAACTCACTTCACAGAAGTTCACCTTAGAGGAATTGTAGAATCTTTCCTTTTTACTTGGGAATCCATCCTTTCTTGCTGAACGCAGCATTATGTGAAATAGCTGACACATTTTTGACAGTGTTTCTGTGCTTCGGGCAGAAAATACTAGTGCGAATGTGATTACTGGAAGGCCTCCGCTGTTGACAGACTCTTAGGAGATGGCCCTTGCTCTTTGTGACAGAGTAGGGGATTGAGAGGCTGCTTGCGTGAGGGGGCCAGACACATGGACAGATTGCGATTGTAAGCACAGATTGAGGGGTGGCTCGGCTTTGTGTCGTGCACTGTGAAAGCCTTGTGGCTTGTCACACTTTAGCTTCTTTTTATTTATTTGATGACGTCATTCCTGCTTTCTGAGATTAGACATTCACAGAATCTGGAAATGAAGAAAATTAAGTATTTTTGAGTGATTTGGTATGGTGGTTTAGAGTAATGAATTATTTTTCCCTTTGTATAATGAATCATTTTTGCTGTTCTAAATTGAGCTAACTTTAATATCCATATCCCATGGCTTCTTTCTGTAATGTAGGACAAGAGTACCTTGACTTTTTTCTTCAGAGAGAGCGCCCCCCTAAGGAAGGACCATGAATTTATTAGTCTTTCAAGCCTTGACAAAAATTGTTTTATTACATTTTATTAAGGGTGATGGGAATAAGACAAATACTGTATGAAAAAATAGCAACACTTTTTAAATTGTAAAGCATTCATTTAAACATATTTGCAGAGATTTTGGTTGCAGCCTTTCATTTACGATAGCTTCAACAGGAAGTCATCAGTTCCATGGCTTGACTACATAAAATGCTGGCTGTCAGACAGTGTTGACAGACTGATGTAATAAAGGATTGCTTTCTCTAGCTGGGGAAGTAATCCAGTATCAGAGATGATGCTAAGCCTTTCCACGCCGCATACTACCTGCCAGAGAGCTGGACAGCTCCGATATCCTAGTGAAAAATAAATATACCAAAATATATTTGAAATACATTTATGTTAAGCTAAGTCTACTACAAATACATTTACATATTATGTACTTAATATAAATACCCTACAATTGTACTTTTGCTATACTAAACTGAAATACTTAAAATCTGCTAAATTGGAACAACTAATTATGTACTTAATGCACTTTAGTTATCAGGAAATAGTGCTGCAGTCCAACTAAAGATATATGTAAGTATATTTGATTGTGCTAAAGTGGAACTATTGCAAGTATACTTTAGGTACTGTTTAAATATCTTGAATTTAAAGACTGACCTTACTATACAGAGATCATTCTACCCTTATATTACTAAGAGTGACATTAAAACACATTTTAGGCTTAATATTAAGAAATGTGCATTGTGCAATACAGAAGTACTCTAAATAAAGTTTAATTATAATATTTATATCAGTAACCCTCAATCATTATGTCAGTATGTTAATGCTTTTGTAGTATACTTGGTATGAAATAAATATATTTATAAAACGGATAGTTCTGGTCCTTGATTCTGATTGGTTGAGCCGGGTTTGCAGCCGTTGTAAATTACTCAATAAACATACACCTGTGACCGCATTACATTAGCATTACTGCGCAACTGCCGTTTGTGATTCTTTGTTGCTGCATGTGTTGCTTGGGAACTACATTGCTTGGCGGAGGAATAAATATGTTATAACGTTATACTTTTTTGTTGCTGGTGTTTATTTTATGAATAAAATAAATATTAAAATGAATATTTTTATGGAGTAACCGTTTTTTAAAAACTCTGCTCTGCGTCGTGCCTAACAACACCCCTTAGCTGTTCTATATTCACTGTAAATCACAGCTTCGCCGGGCTTATTGCTTTATTTAAATGCATTTTGGTATAGGTTTTTTTTATAGGGTAGAGATGTAATATTTGATTTTAATGGAAATTGATTGGGGTTTGTGATGTATTGAAAGGTCAGAACAAAAGTTACATTTAATATGTGATGCATACAATGTAAAAAAAGCACAAGACTTTGTTACAGCTTTGTATGGCGTTGTATTCAGCATAATGTGCTGCTGAAGTGACCATCTGCCGACCCTTCTTTGACTCCTACATATTACACTGAATGAAGCTCAGAAGTAAACATTCATATAAGTCTGAGAAAAACACTATGGGTTGTTTGAGGTGTGTCCTTTTAATACCTTAATCATCCCTTTACACTCGTCTTGTAATGCTGTCTACAATCTGGCCTCCAGTTAACATCAGTGACGTCACTCATCTCCATCTATGGCCATCGCTTCCTCACTTGTTTTTGTTTCATTCATGGTTAAGATCATTTTTATTACTCCATGGTGGCTTTGCTTTCTAAATTCCCAGATGATTAAGCATGAGTTGAATTGAGTTTCTACAAGGGTTATTCCCACGAAGCAGGAATAATCATATTGGGCTGCCTCTTTCGTCTCAGTTTTCTTTCTTTAACCAAGCAAACTCTGTGTTAATGGTATAGGTCACCCAAAATGTCTTATTTTACTCACCCTCATGTTCCAAACGTGTATCTTTCTTTAGTGTTACACAGTAAGGAGCCGTTAAAATCACTCAAACGTACCATGAAGTAGTTCATATGCTGCCTTTGATGAGTGAGAGGTCTGTCTTGTCATGTGCTCAGGTGCTCCAGGTTAAATGTTTTCCATTGTGCTTGCTAGAAGTGTTGTTCTGTCAATTGTTAACTAAACTGCTTACTCTGCCTGTTAAATAAGACTTTCAGGTGAGAATATTTTTGTTTATGTATTGGCAGTATACTGGGGAACTGGTTTATGAATGACTGACACTGGAACCTCATCTTCAGTTTATCAGCAGAGCTGTCAAATCTGATTTATGAGCTTCCTAGTTAACATGTCAATGGATTTCTACCATGTGCGCTAGTCTTACTGTTAAAGAATAATGAGTGTTTACATTTTTGGAAGTAATAAACAAATAAAAGTTCTTTATATACGCAATAAGCTTGAGTAATTGTGAACACATTTAGCTATTACAATAATAATAGATAGGTCAAAAATGACCTCCGAGGCACCAGTTACAGTTGCTTAACGATTGATGGCTATGTGAGCAGGGTGTACTAGTTATCTTTGGCTTGTAAATTTCACATTTGGCATGACCTCAAAGACTGAGCTGGCAGATGCCACTGCTTTGAAGTTGGCCTTCATTTTATCACTGGTAGGAACAACAACAGCCCATATAAATAAAATGAATTTAACAGTTCTTTCTACTGGTTACCACTGGTGCCTCTGAATTTAGAGCAAAAGAATGCAGGAGTCACAGTGGGCCTTTGCTGAACTTTAGAATGAACCATCCTACATACAACCACCAATCTTTGTAGTTTCCATTAGTTGGACAGTTGCGGCTGTTGGATTCATCACATCTCGCCTCAGGCAACTCTTGGTACAAAATGCCAGCCGGGCAATATGTTTAATGAGGTCATGTGTTAGGGCTTGATTTGTGCACTTTGTTTATCCGTTTCTTCTTTCTTATCGAACTGCATGTTTCCAGCTGAAGAACAAGTTTATGAAGAAGCTGCCCAGAGATGCTGAAGCTTCCAATGTTCTCGTTGGAGAAGTGGACTTCCTGGACAGTCCTTTTGTGGCCTTTGTGAGGCTGCAGCAGGCAGTCATGTTGGGGGCGCTGACTGAAGTGCCTGTGCCCACCAGGTATGACCTGCTTTCATCCCACAAGGCCAAGGAGGGAAGTAAACGTAGTGGTAAAGGGGTGCTCAGTTAAAATCGAAGCTTTCATTAAATGTGTATGTTTTACACCAAGTGCGTTAATATTTGTTATTGTCTTCTTGTCCCCAGATTTCTGTTCATTCTGCTTGGACCCAAAGGCAAAGCCAAGTCATACCATGAAATTGGTAGAGCAATCGCTACCCTGATGTCCGATGAGGTACATGGAGAGTCTAATCTTAGCCGAAAACTGTTTCAATCCTGTTTTAGAGTGCTAAATATTGTTGCGTTCATTCTTGTTTGCTTATGAACAACTACATTCTGTAACAGAACTAGTGTTATAATTTTACTGTTACTATATTTTAAGTTTTTGTTTTAGATTAAGTGTTAGTAATTGTTGTTTTTGTAATGTTCTGTATTTTTTATTTTTTTTTCTATTTAGCTCAGATTTATTTTTGTTTCAGATTTAGTCTTAATAATTTAGTATTTCAACTTAAACATTTAATTTCTCTCACATTTTTAGAGTTTGGTAAACAGATTATATGTTGCTCAGGGCTGTTTTTCATCTCAAAAAACAGTATTTGGGCCACTCCTGTACAGTAAACTGCCGTATGAACAGGCCAATTCAATAGTCACACCTATTTGTAAATACATTTGTCAATCCTAAAAACTGACTGTGTGAACGTAGCCTACATGTTCTGATACTGTGTAGCTGTGCCTGAAAGAAAAAAAATAAAAATGTTTGTGCTTGAATTAGTTAGATTAGATTGTGTGGGGAAAGTTAGCCAGTAATCACTGTTCTCTTATCAAGGTCTTCCATGAAATTGCGTACAAAGCCAAGGACAGACAAGATCTCCTCGCTGGCATTGATGAGTTCTTGGATGAGGTCATTGTCCTTCCTCCTGGAGAATGGGACCCTGCCATCAGGATAGAACCTCCAAAATCCCTGCCATCCTCAGATAAAAGGTAATTGATATTTATCTGCATATAACTTTTGCTGAAGCCCCACCAATATCTCACAACAAACTCTGTCAATGTTCCTATTTTGACTTGCGGATTTGAATGATGGTCAGATATAGTTTCTGAGCCTGTCCCTTTAAATGTTATATATATATATATATATATATATATATATATGTATATATATATATATATGTATAACACATGGTCAGGAAGTAGTTTCAAAGGCCAGCCAGCCAGGTCTGTGCGAACTAAGGCCATTCATTCATTCAGTGTGAAAGAGCAGAGCAGCGGTTAATTAGATGAAGTACGTCACCTCTCTTTGGCTTCAGGTGAAGTGACAGCAGGCTGCCGTTTTATCCTGCCACCTGAATACAAAAAGCAGAGCTGTGTGCCAGCAGAATGCAGTCACACCAGCATCACACACAGTGTACACAACACATTACACACAGCAGTCCTCGTGCATGCATTCACGGGTTGTTGAATGTAAACAACAGTCTGAACAGCTTCACTTACTGTACTATCTGTCTGTCTGTCTGTCGTTCATAAAACATCCATCCATCCATCACTTTAGCTTGTTCTGTCTATCATCTATCATTTTATCTATTGCTCAGTCCTTATTTTTTTATTTCATTTTATAATTTTCATCAGTCTGTCTGTTGTAAATTGTTTTATTTTATTTCATGTTTAATCTTTTTTTCTGTCTGTTTTTTGTTTTATCTGTTGATCAACCATTTTATCTATTGTTCAATCGTTCTCTCTGTCTTTATCTCGTTTTTATCTGTTGTTTTATCATTCTATCTATTGTTTGATAATTTTATCAGTTTATCGTCCTTTCGTTTGCTATCATTTCTTGGTTTAAATGATTATCATACCATATGGATGATTGGATGAGTACCATATTCATATATCATGGCATTTAGATTGTAATTTGAAGAATACCATGGTATTATATCTTGTATTATTTCATATTGTACAGTTGTGTGGGCTACCACGGTACAAGCTTGCAGGATGTTTAGTTAACCCTTTAAGTGTCACCCCCCTTTTTTTGAATATACATGAAAATGCACATTTCGAACTTAAATGGTTGTAATTCAAGAATGCTTTGGAATATAGACGTAAGATTGGTCTTGTTTTAAAGAAGACATTTGGCAGATTTTTGTAGAAGTGAAATAAATTAAGAAAGTGAAACAGAAAAAAAGTTATAGAAGTTTGAGTTTATGAAAATGTACAATGTAAAAAATTTAATTATTCATATTTTATATAAAATATATATTTTCAAAACCTGGGCGACTCTAAAACTGCAAAAAAAATCAAAGCCAAAAATCTGAACAAGTTGTGTTTCAAATTGTAGGTTGATATCTCAAAAAATGAGCTTTCAGTGAGATTTTGTTTGGGCGCAGTACCAAACTTTTTCACTAGATGACAACCAGACTCCATTACTGCCCATATAAGGGCGCCTCCATTTCCATATGTGTTTTGAGTGATATGAACCATTATTTCCACAATTTTCATACAATTTATGAAGTAGACATCCTATTCAGAAGTAATATGAGAAGTTTGGCAGATTTTGATATGATTTCAACCTCTAAGAAACATAAAAAGAACACGTATGTGCGTTTTAGCTTCCTGCCACATCATATAATTTTTTTTCTTTATATAAAAAAAAAAATTCAGACCTTTTTTTTTTTAAATAATTGAATGGATGCTATCTTTTGAACTCTTGGCATGAAAACAAACTGAGGTTTCTACCCTTCTTTCATGATTTTTCATGTTCATCACTATTTCAAAATAAAGGTCTAAGAGTATGAAAATATTATTGTTGCAAATTGATAAATTACGGCTCCTCTGTAATTTATTTTGAAAATCAATCACCAAATATGGAAACTAGAGATTGTAAGCTTTCAAATGATATATAGTTTGTCAAGATTAGTTTAGGTTTAGTATAGGATATTACTGTTTTAAAAATGTAAAGGATTTGGGCCCACCGGTGGGCCCGTGACACTTAAGGGGTTAACTTAACTTCAGGCTGGGGGCCTTAAAATGACTTCTAAAGCGTCCACGAGTGTGTCTTTTATCATCTTTCTTCCTTCTCTGTTTTCTTTCCTCCTCTATAAGTTATTTCAGGACATTAATGACATTCAACAATCTCCATTTGTTTGTTATGTTGTACAGAAAGAACATGTATGCTGGAGGGGACAGCACACAGATGAATGGAGACACGCCTCACAGCGGTGGAGACGGGGGCGGGGGGCACGCAGTAGGCGATGAGCTAAAGAAGACAGGGAAGTGAGTGTGTTTGTATAATGTTTGTATAAATTCTTCTCAAGAAACAGATTATGTTCTCTGAATACCATGGTTTAGTTCAGATAAAGGTTTGTTTTCCTCCTTTCTAAATGACTAGACTTATCGTAATATTAGGCAAACACTTAGATTTGATTTTTCTAGTACAGTACATTCCCACTGTTGGTTTTGGAAACACCTTGAACTTTGGGAAATCACTGCCTCGTACTATTAGTAATCCTTTTGCGCTGAATAGATTTTTTTTTTTTTTGCTGTTACCAATTCATAAAACCAATAAACATACTACTATTTAAAATATTACTTTGTTCATATAATATATGGTCTAAAAGTGCACTAGTGAAAATGTTTCTATTTTGCATTTTTCTAATTTAATTGAGCAATTTTCTTTGCAAATTATATTGCCAGCATTAAAATTAGTGTAATTATTTTTATTTATTTTAATAATAATTAATAAAAATTTAAATTAATTTCAAAATGTTTTAGTATTTGGTGTACCCCCCTATTGCTTTTGATTACTGACCTTGAAATAGTATACTATAATATTTCTTCTTCATTGCATGTTATAACATTATATTTTTGAGATTTATTGCATGTTTTATTTATTTTTATTTATTTCCATGTTTAAAATTAGAAATTGGATCCCAGATTTTCAGATTTTTGAACCCCACTGTTCAAAGTGAAAAAACATATTTGAATAGAGGAAGGCAGAATAAGATAACCTGTAGACATTTAGTATAAGAATTAACTTGTATAATATTTTGTTCTTCAGGTTTTGTGGAGGCCTTATTCTTGATATCAAAAGAAAAGCCCCATTTTTCTTCAGTGATTTCTATGATGCACTACACATCCAGTCTTTGTCTGCCATTCTTTTCATCTACCTGGGAACAGTAACCAATGCCATCACATTCGGAGGATTGCTGGGCGACGCCACAGAGAACATGCAGGTAAAGATTCTACTGCAAATCATAGGAATTTTCGTTTCCTATTGTGTGCCATGGATGTGCCATATGCTCTTTGTGCCTGAGCCTTCCTAAATAAGAATCAGTCCAAACTTGCCAAAGGTTACAATGTAATTCAGTGTTGGTCAATCTTTAACTGACGCATACTGGGAGCACCTTCTTCTCGGCCCTCTTTTTGAATTGTTACTTTTAGTTCAAAGGTCATGTTAGTTAGTTAAAGTCTCACAGTTCATATATTTAGCTGTTTAGGGGTCATGAACTGGATTTTTTGGATTATTTTATAATGTTTCCTGAGGTACAATTATAATGTTAATATGATTTTTACATCAAAAAATTGTCACAATTTAGAAATAAATGGCTATTAAGCCTCTGATTTGAACGCTCTGTTTGAAGGGACGTGTCTGCTGTTGAGACTTCAGGGGAAACGCTCACTGCTGTGATTAGCTGACATCTTTGCATATGAAATAAGTAATACACGTGGAACCCTCTCGATTCTTTTACTACGTTTTTACTATTACAGCTGTCGAATATGCTTATAGTATTATATTTAGATCTATTCCCACAACGCATGAAAGGTTTCAGTGATGAGTGATGACAGACAGTCTGTTGAACGCATGAATGCAGTGATCTCATCATTGCAGCGCGATTTCTGCACTCCAATGAATGCTTTCACCAAAAATAGCAATGCAGTCACAATGTAAATACTGTAAGAGCTTCGTTGTGCAGTGTAACAGCATCATTGATTACATACTTGGAGTTTTGGCAAGTGTCCAGGTAAAAGAAAAAATGTGAAGTTCATTGTTTAGTCACTGGCTTGATGCAGAAACGGTATTAAACGATTTTGAGACAAAGAAAATCTGTCAAAAATGGAATAATTACACATCAGAAATCACTGATCACAGATCAGGCTTTGGAATAAACATGGTTACTTACATGTTTGTGGTGTTGCTGACGGATCCATATCGTAAAAGTCTGTTTGCAAAGCCTGCGCCGATATTGTGACTGAATTACCAAATAATCAAATGAACCGAATACAAACAAATATTGCACTGCTGAGACTTTCACATAGTTGAGAAAAAACACTTTCCTAGCATTAGGATCATTTGGATGGTAATGTTATTGATCCTGTTTCAATCTTTTCTCGTTCTCATGTCACTATTCACTAACGGCCCAGACACTGTGATGTAGACGTTGATATTCTTCTGCAAAGTCTTTCTCTGCCCTATGATGTCATAATTCCACACTTTTCAGAGCCTGTCGTTTTCTGGCCTTGGTTTCAATAAAAGCTATTTTTGGAATAACAAGGAAGTTTTGACTTTTGAAACAGGATATATTTTTATAGTATACCGACCTCTTACCTGTCAAACGATCAAGGAATATTTGAATTCTCAGGTGAACCCTTTAAAGAAAAATGCTGAGATCTAGCACATGTTGTTGGCTAGTCAATATTTTAGCTCAGGGAAACACCTCAGTAAGTCAGCTAGCAAAGTGGTGCAATTTAGAGGGATCTATTTATTTTTAAATGCATTATAACATTAAATGAGGAAATTAATTAAGATGAGGAGGACTACAGTGTCTGTTCTGAGTAGTCCAGAGTAGATCAGACTCCCCTTATTGATTCTATTTACATCAAATGGGTTGACAGGACTATTTTAACCACCAACTGTTGTTTGTCATTTTACTCAACAAAAGGCCTAAATCCTTAATGAAGGTGTAGCAGGCTTTAGTCACAGTTTTTGATAAAGGTCAAAAGACAGATGAAGTGGTAATAATATACCACAATCACTGACATTCTCATTTGGACGGGATTAGATTTCCCAGAGAGTACCTGAGTTAGCCATTATCTGGTAATTTGTATTTAGATTGTGTGAGAAAAACACAAACATGACGGATTCAGATGGGATTTAAATTGCAGAGCAAACTGTAACATGAAGTCACATCTCTTCAATGGCAGTTCATCACAACAGTTCTCATAAGCACCATTTCAGCAGGATAAGTCTTCCAAACAATATTTGGATTTCAGTTATAAACTTATTCACAGGACGTATGCGAATTCATATACTAATTTGGACATGGCTAGTTATTACTGAGGAGGGAGTGTCTATTGTCTGGATATGGGCATTTCGGAAGTCCATGCGATCTAAAAAGTGCATCAGTTAATTAAATGTATGGGTAATAAAATCCGTTTATTGAATTAAGGTAGATAAAGTTTGCTTGATATGAATAATAAATCATTTCAAATAAGACTATTGTTAACAGTATGTACATAAATAAGGGAAGTATTAATTAAAGGATTAAGTGAGAATAGATTCTGAGCCATTTCTGTGAGTAACTTTGAGTTAGCTGAAAAGCAGAAGGCAATTTTCTTTGTGAAATGATCCCTTGCAAATATGTGCAGCTTGTTTCTTCTCACACATCCTCTGTAAAAATCACAAAGTATGTCTGTGAACGATGATGAATTTCCTTTAACCTCCTCAGGGATAGCTTGTCCCATCCAAATATGGATTTAAACATGCTTAAACAGACTTTCCTCGCAGGGAACGTGATTGTGACTGAGCTTCAGATGGGTTTTTCCATAACCCTTTGACTCTTCTTCATTGTGTGTTGGGTGAAGGGTGTGCTGGAGAGCTTTCTGGGTACAGCGGTAACTGGAGCCATCTTCTGTCTCCTGGCTGGGCAACCGCTGATCATTCTCAGCAGTACGGGGCCAGTGCTGGTGTTTGAAAGGCTGCTCTTCAACTTCAGCAGGTTCTTGATCACATTTGTTCACAATGTAACATCACAAACCTTTACGGGCAGCCAAATCCCTGACAAAATTCAAGAAACAGCTGAAAACTTTTACATCAGCATTTAACTGCATCTGAAAAAAAAAAAAAATTCAGTATTCCTTAATCCCTCCATGTTGTAGCTTGCACTGTTCTGAACACTGACTGACACTTTATATTACTAGCACTTCTCGTGTTTATCTTGCTCTCTTAAGATAATTGCTTGTATTCCTCATTTGTAAGTCGCTATGAAAAAAGAGTCTGCTAAATAAACGTAAACGAACTAACTGACCATTTTGTAATTAACTGAAACTAATATTCTGTAAATAAAGCAGAAGTGTTCAATGCATAATGATGTCCATTGCTGGTCATAGATACACTACTGTTTAAAAGTGTGGGGTCATTCAGAATAAAGAAAAGAAAAGAAATACATACTTTTATTTATCAAGGATGCATTAAATTGATCATAAATCACAGTAAAGACATTTACCATGTTCCAAGAATCCTGAAGAAAAGTATCAGTTTGAAAAACAATATTAAGCAACACAACTGTTTTCCACATTGATAATAAGAAATGATTCTCGAGCAAATCAGAATGATTTCTGAAGGATCATGTGACTGAAGACTGAAGAGTAATGGCTGATGAAAATTTTGCTTTGCCGCCAAAGGAATAAATGACATTTTACAATATATTCAAGAATAACGTTTTTTTTTTAAATTGTATTTATATTTTACAATGTTATTGTTTTTATTGTATTTTTGATCAAATAATTGGAGCCTTCGTAAGAGACTTCTTTCAAAAACATAAACCTTACCGACCCTAAACTTTCTAATGGTAGTGTACTTTTCATTGCTGTATGATTTGAAAATGGGGGGACACGAGTACATTTTCTATTTATACTTTTTTCTGCAGGGAAAACGACTTTGACTACCTAGAGTTCCGTCTTTGGATTGGCCTGTGGTCGGCCTTCTACTGTCTGGTCCTGGTGGCCACTGATGCCAGCTTCCTGGTGCAGTATTTCACCCGATTTACAGAGGAGGGCTTCTCGTCACTCATCAGCTTCATCTTCATCTATGACGCTTTCAAGAAGATGCTGAAGTTTACCCATTATTACCCAATCAACCCAGACTATAAAATCGATTATGTCACGCAGTATGACTGCATGTGTATGGCGCCCACTGATGGTAAGACCTCGTAGTTCTCTTTATCTGATGTTATTTTCTTTCAATGTTTAGATGCAAATTGAACCGACTAAACCTTTATTCATTTGCAAGTTTGCAAACTTAGCTAAATTTTTAATCGCCTTCCTAAGCCTCCCATATGTCCACACCAGATGCAAGAAACGATAAGTGCTGACCAAACAGAAAGAAAAAAAAAGATCACTGATGCATATGTAACATTATTTTGCTCAGTGAAGCAAATATTATGTAGCACAAAGTGACCTTTTTTCCCCTTGGTTGGGATCCAAAAGGTGCTACTCTGAGCTCAAATGCAGTGACCATATTTTCATTCCCCTGCTTGGCTACCTAGTAGTATGAATTGACATTTTATTGAAGATTGCTTAATCTATACTGATACAAAAATGGAAGCACAATAGTTTGATGGGGATGGATGTTTATGTCCGGCTTATGATCCAGCTGTTTTTGAAAGGTGTCCAGGTCTACATCTGGCAAATGTTTTATAAATATGGCCAGCATAAATATTTAACTTTTCCTTTTGTTGTACTATTTCTGGTCTTCAAGTGATAGTTTAGACCCACAGGGTTGGTTTTGTCTTAAAGTCCCCCTGTAGTCAATCATTTTATCCCTTAAATTAATCTTTGATCCCCAAAATGACAAATTTAAAAGTTTTTTTTCTCCCATTGAAAATAATTTCGTCATGCCTTAAAACAGTGCGTTCTGAACGACAACAATTCTATTCTAAAATTATTAACGAAAATAATAAAAATCCCAGAATATTTTTCTCTACTATAGATCGTCTTTTAAATAACAAACCATAGAATTGGCGAGATCAGCCCTCGGTAACTATGTGTGAAGATTTTGCCACGTTTTTTTAATAATAAAATAATACAGATCAGATCTGCTATTGATCATACTGATAATCTTCCTATGGATGAATTGCGAAGTTATCCACACCATAAAATGGAAATGCTCAGGACAGTTAATAAAGAAAATCTTCTGCAAATTATTTCTCAGATAAATTCCTCTTCCAGCTATCTTGACCCTATACCAACAGTATTTTTTAAAAAGGTATCGCACTGTTTGATAGACTATGTCCTTGATATAGTTAATTGTTCCCTGGAAACAGGCATTTTTCCTAATGCTCTTAAATGTGCTGCTGTGAAGTCACTTTTAAAGAAAAGAAACCTCAGGGTTCTCAAGTGTCAAGCATTGGCCGTGAGACACACGCAATTCAACCAGTTCACATGCTCACACGCCACACCGTGTATTTCTCACGCTGAAAAGGCAATGCCAACCAAGTTGTCCTGCAAGCTTTATATATAACATTGTATACGAGGCGCAGGCACACAAAGTGAAGTTTCCTGCTGCCAGCACTTATCTCTCGGCCAGATTGCGTTCGTTAGGCAACATAGATGCGCGAACAAACGGAAGTTGACGGAACATTCTCGGCCACCGTACGTTCGTTACTAGGTAACCAACAACATTGCGCGAACACACGCCGTGATGGAGAAGGGAAGAAAGCTTGTCTAATATTTTTAGGCTAGAACATTTAATATATAGCCCATCGTATAGGCCTACATTATTATTGATGCAGTCAAAAACTCTACAACTACCAGCAACCAGGCCGAAAGCTTTGGCTCAGTTTGGCTAGCTTACATTACCTGAAACTATAAGGGAAATGTTAGTCGGTATGGGAAGGAATGAAGATGTAAGTTATTTCTTCATTTTATTTTAAATGATATATTATACTGTATTAATAGTCTTTCTAGTTACGTTAAGGCTACATGTATTAAAGCAGAGTGCTCTGGGTAATATTTTATATCCTGTCAAAACATACATTAATCATTGCCATTGCATTTGTATTTTTCAAAGATGTCAGGGAAAAAGCAAAAAGATATTTGTGTACACACACACAAACACCTTAATACTCTAATGTCCATTTGTTCACAATGTTCCACCACACAATAAATCATTATACCATTTTGACTAGACACATTCAAAACTGTTTGGAGCAATTTGTTATATTTTTGTATATTTGTAATTTTGAAATATAACATTAAAGGTTCTCTAAGCGATCCTGGGTGACGTCACTTCTTGTTGACGTTCGAACTATTGTCAAACAAAACGGAGGCTAGCTAGACCCTCCCTCCTCCTCATCCGCACACTAACCCCCCAAACCACACCCCCAAACCCTTCTTGTCGGTGATTGGCTAGAACAGTTTGTTATGTTTTGGGGAGCGGGTCGCTGCAGTTTGTTTTTGTTGCTGTGTGTGGAGCCAGGGCTGTCTACAGAGATCGCGTTTCTTTACAGTGTGTTCAGGGGACAGGCAGCCAGCGGATAGTGAGGAGATGTTTGCTGTATGTGACAAAAAATGTTTTGGCCTAAAAAACGCGTGACATCGCTTAGAGCACCTTTAAAGAGTAGGCTATATTTGATGTGATGAATTGCTCTGTCATTTATCAGATTTACCAATTGTTATAATTTCAATTTGTGCTGGTTAATTATGAACAATGGGTAAAATTGGGGGGTGGGGATGGGCGGGGGCGGGGCTCCATCTAACCGCATGTGATCTCACTCCAAGCTTTTGATAAAACTTGAGAACCCTGATTGAATCCTTGATTGCTCTCTCCTTAATAACTACAGACCTATTTCTTACATATAATTTCTGAGTAAGATTCTAGAAAAAGTTGTATTGTAGCAGCAGCTTAATAATTTTTTGGATAAATATATTATTCGGGAGAAATATCAGTCAGGTTTCAGACAAGGTCATAATACGGAAACAACATTACTAAAGGTAGTAAATGATCTGAGATTAAATACAGATAAAGGCAATGCCTCAGTTTTAATCCTTTTAGATCTAAGTGCAGCATTCGACACGGTCGATCATTGTATTTTACTTAACAGACTGGAAAAGCTTGTCGGTCTCTCTGCTAATGTTTTAAATTGTCTTAACATATATAACAGAAAGGAACTTTTTAGTTAATATAGGTGACTGTATATCAAAGACACATGAAATAAAACAAGGTGTTCCACAAGGATCAATTCTTGGGCCTGTTTTATTTTTATTATATATGCTCCCCTTGGGCAGCATATTTAAGGAATACGACATTAATTATCATCTTTATGCTGATGATATATAGTTATACATCTCAGTTGAGTTAAGAGATACTGTTGTATTAGAAAGGCTGGCTGATTGTCTGTCCAGTATCATAAAGTGGATGAACATTTTTTTTTTTTAATTGAATGAAGACAAAACTGAAATTCTTATTGTGGGCCCAAAACATGAGTGGCAGAGGATAGAGGTTGGATTGGGTCCCTTAGCCTTACAATCTAAGAAAAAAGTAAAGAGCCTAGGTGTCACTTTGGACTGCGATTTGAGTTTTAAGCCTCATGTTAATCAAGTGACAAAAACTTGTTTTTATCATCTGAGAAATATAGCGAAGATTCGTCTTTTTTTATCCTTGGATGATGCTAAGAAACTCATTCATGTTTTTATTTTCTCTCATCTTGATTATTGCAATGCTATGTACACTGGCCTACCTAAGGGTTTTATAGCAAAGTTACAATTGATAGAAAATGCAGCAGCCAGAGTACTAATGAAATTAAAAAGGAGAGAACATATTACACCGTTTTCTTTTTCTTTTTTCTCCCACCTCCACCCCCCCTCTTCGGAGGACAACTTCATTTATTTTATTTTATTAAACTGTAATATCTGAATGCGTTTGAAAACAGAATGAGTTTGAGTCTTGAAGTGGTATTTTAGTGAGTTGCACCAAACGTTCGGAACCAAGACGGGAAAGAGACCTGTACCTTGACTGCTCTGGCTTAGAAATGACCTAGAATCGGGATTGCCTAGATATAGACTGGTAACAGGCTTGTGCTAACTGTAGACCACGTGGATAGTCCACAGACTGATAACGGGATTGTGCTGACTGCAGACTGCTGGGCCGGAACACAGACTGGTAACTGAATTATGCTGACTGCAGACTGCTGGACTGGTCCACAGGCTGGTTACGGGCTTGTGTTAGTTGCAGATTGATAGGCCGGGACACAGACTGGTAACGAGTTTGTGTTGACTGCAGGCCACTGGGCTGGTCCACAGACTGGTAACGGGAATGTGCTGACTGCAGACTGCTGGGCTGGGACACAGACTGAGAGCTGGTTTATGCTGACTGCAGGCCACTAGGCTGGCCCACAGACTAGTAACAGGCTTATACTAAATGCAAACCACTGAGGTCTGATCCACAAACTGTGAGCTGGCTTAAACTGGTTGTTGAATGCCAGACTGGTCCACAGCTTGTAAACTGGCTTGGGCTAGTTGTTGGATGCTAGACTAGACCACAGATTATGAGCTGACTTGAGCTGGTTGTTGGATACTAGACTGGTCTACCAATTGTGAGCTAACGTGGGCTGGTTGTTAAATGCCAGACTGGTCCACAGACCGTGAACTGACTTGGGCTGGTTGTTGGATGCCAGACTGGTCCACCGATCGTAAGCTGACTTGGGCTGGTTGTTAGATGCCAGACTGGTCCACAGATTGTGAGCTCGCTTGGGTTGGTTGTTGGATGCCGGATTGGTCCACAGATTGTAAGCTGACTTGGGCTAGTTGTTGGATGCCAAACTAGTCCACAGATTGTGAGCTGGTTGTTGGATGCCAGACTGATCCACATACTGTGAGCTGGCTTGAGCTGGTTGTTGAATGCCAGACTGGTCCACAGGTTGCGAGCTGGCTTGGGCTGGTTGTTGGGTGCCAGATTGATCCGCAAGCTGTGAGCTGACTTTGGCTGGCTGTTGGATGCCAGGCTGGTCCACAGATTGTGAGCTGATTTGGGCTGGTTGTTGGATGCCAGACTGGTCCACAGACTGTGAGCTGACTTGGGCTGGTTGTTGGATGCCAGACTGGTCCACAGACTGTGAGCTGACTTGGGCTGGTTATTGGATACCAGGCTGGTCTACAGGTTATGAGCTGACTTGGGCTGGTTGTTGGATGCCAGACTAGTCCACAGACTATGAGCTGGCTTGAAATGATTGTTGGATGCCAGACTGGTCCACAGGCTGTGAGCTGACTTGGGCTGGTTATTAGATGCCAGACTGGTATACCGATTGTGAGCTGTCATAGGCTGGTTGTTGAATGCCAGACTGGTCCACAGACCGTGAGCTGACTCAGGTTGGTTGTTGAATGCCAGACTGGTCCACAGATTGTAAGCCGGCTTGGGCTGGTTGTTGGATGTCGGATTGGTCCACAGATTATGAGCTAACTTAGGCTAGTTGTTGGCTGCCAGACTAATCCACAGATTGTGACACCGGTTATTACACCGGTTTTAATGGAATTACATTGGTTACCTGTTCATCAATGGATCGATTTTAAGGTTCTTTTATTTGTTTATAAAACTCAGCCTTTATACATTTCAGACTGTCTGTCAAGGTATGTTCCAAATCGTAGATTAGATCCTCTAGTCTAATGCTAATCTTCTGGCACAGTTACTTATAAACGATCTGGTGGTGCTTCTTTTAGCCATTATGCTCCAAAAATTTGGAATTCTTTACCAAATGAAGTGAAAGAGGCTACTAGTATTCATATTTTTAAAAGGCAGGTTAAGACATATCTTTTTAAAGCTGCTGATCAGTACAACAATATTATGTGAAGTTGTGTACAAGTGTCATGTACAACCAGACAAGGTTAGATCCAAACGCAGCGTGAATTTATTCACAGGGTAGTCAGACAGGCAATAGGTCAGATACACAGACTGGAACAGACTAGACTAGGATAACAAACTTGGAAACGCTCAGAGATGTGCACAACAGTGAAACAAGACTTAGCAATGAGTGATAGTGAGAGTGGGGTATAAATGAGTGTGGAGCTGCGTGTGGAACTCGATGCAGGTGTGAGAGTGATCAGTGGAAACAGGTGTGCGCAATCAGTTCAGGGTGTGTGCGAAAACAGTCCAAGGGAAGCCAGTGCAGAAGTGGAGCGCCCTCTCGTGACACTAGAGGGCAATCCAGCCGAACTTCATCACATAACCCCCCCTTTAAGGAGCGGCTTCCAGACGCTCCAAAGACAATCCAGGCGGGGGGCAGAGCGAAGACAATCCTGGGGGAGGGACGGAGGGCCAGGCCCGTGCAGGGGAACGGGACCAGGAGGTAGCCAAGGCGGGCCTGGGCCCTAGAGCGTGGGCGGACCAGACTGGGCCGGTGACCAGGGCGGAGCAGGACAAGGCGAAGGCCTGGGCGGAGCAGGATGAGGCCAAGGCCAGGGCGGAGCAGGATGAGGCGAAGGCCAGGGCGGAGCAGGATGAGGCGAAGGCCAGGGCGGAGCAGGATGAGGCGAAGGCCAGGGCGGAGCAGGATGAGGCGAAGGCCAGGGCGGAGCAGGCCAGGACCAGCGGGGCAAGCTCCTCCTCTAACTCACCCACAGTGAGAGCCGAACCACTCAGTAGAAGAGCCGTGTTAATATACCGCCTTAAAGTGCTGTGAGGCTCTGGGTTGGGCATCAATGAGCGAAGCGGTTCAGACAACCCTCCGCGGAACAGGTTCGTTAGGCAAACGTTGTTCATACACGTATGATGAGAAAGTTCATAAAACTCCGCCACATACCATTCGAGAGAACGATCCTCCTGATGAAGTTGCATTATCTCAGCACCCGTATCTGTGCTCGGAATCGCTGTGTGAGCTCGTCGAAATACCTCGCTGTTGAATTTTACCGGGAGAGCTTGGCATGACATCGGGATCGGTCCTGGGTCAACAACTGCGGAGACGGGTTGATTCTGCGATGGTCCCAGTGGGAAAACATGAAGGCCGCGAACCATCTTGGCCAACCTCTCCAACGACGCGGTGAGTTGATCCAGTTGATCCTGGCGTACGGCGGCTGACTGGGAGGCATACAAGGCTGACATGCTGCTGGATCTGGTGTGGCTAAGTCTTCTGTCATGTACAACCAGACAAGGTTAGATCCAAACGCAGCGTGAATTTATTCACAGGGTAGTCAGACAGGCAATAGGTCAGATACACAGACTGGAACAGACTAGACTAGGATAACAAACTTGGAAAACTTGGAAACGCTCAGAGATGTGCACAACAGTGAAACAAGACTTAGCAATGAGTGATAGTGAGAGTGGGGTATAAATGAGTGTGAAGCTGCGTGTGGAACTCGATGCAGGTGTGAGAGTGATCAGTGGAAACAGGTGTGCGCAATCAGTGCGCAATAGCCATATACAGGGTTTTATAAATACAGAGGTCCAAAAAGTGATCTTGCTGGGGGTTCGGGGGCATATGCCCACCCAGACAAGTGAAGTAATACAAACAGTGAAAAGTCCCAGTGCTGATATGGGGAAATATAAACACATTCGAGGTATACAAATATCTATACAATAACAATGGCAATATATTAGCCTATATATATATAGGTGATTGTGTTGTTAAATTGAGCTTATTTTTACACTGATGATCATCATTGGCAAAGAACGTATGTCTGTGTTAAACAGGAATCCATTGTAATAAATTTATTCTCATTCTGGGCACAGTAGCCTATGCAATAGGCTATTCCTCTCTACCTGCTCTCATTTCTCATCTCCATCTTCTCTCATTCTTCTTCTCTCAGTCTCTTTATCTTAGGTTACCTGTTATCTCCCCTTCCCGAAGCTGAGTTTTTATTGATACAGTCTTCACAAACTGATTATTTCTTTCGGTCGTTTAAAACTTCTTTCGTAATTAAAACAGCTGTTTAGTTTAGCCACTTGCATCTTATCTCGTGAAGCGTCGCGTTGGGATTCGCGCGCGGCCGCGGCTCGCGCTTCTGTGAACATAAATCCCGCTTGCTTTGATCGGTCATCTCAAACATTTTGCCATTGCCGATGAGCGGTGTTTGAATACTGAAGCAGCTCAGATTATGAGGTCGGTTATCGTCGCGATATGCAAATCATTGCAGCACCAAATTAGAGTTAATATTAGGCAATTATTTCACAACGTCCATTATACACTCAGAAAGCTGTGACTGGAGCCTATATAAAGCATTCAACCCAGTGCCATGACAACACCGGCCCTCCTGGCCAATAAAACAGACCGGCCCACCGGGAATTCTCCCGGTGCTCCCGATTAGCCAATCCGGGCCTGATAGTTTCTAAACACTACAGGTTTGTTTCATAAATCTTGTAGAGTTGGTCTCTAAATCTGAGTCTTGAAGACAAAGTCTAATTCAAGTCTCAAGTCAGTGGTTGACGATTTTTAGGTCTCATTAATTTTTTACGAGTGTCAAGTCTCAAATCGACTGTTTACAAGCCAAGTCCCAGGTCTCATGTTACTTGGTTTTGATTCTCAAGTCAGAAATCTCAAGTCAGTTGTATACAAGTCACTTTTTTACGTCTAAAGGTATAGTCACATTTATTTTTGTTTGGCAAATGTTTGCTGTTAATTTCAGTAGAAATCCACATCCATCAGGAATTCTACATGAGGGCGAAAGTTGGCCATATGAATTTGTTCATGATGTACACGGTGTACTTGTTCATTATATAAATTTTTTATTTTGTTTATTTTGTTTTATAACAGTTACATAGTGTACCTTTAAATCTTCAGGATTGCAGTGTTGCAGTCAAGTGGAGTAGATTGAATACTTCTATGTTTTGGGTGTATTACATATTGATTTATGTTTTTAGAAAAGACATCACAGAGTGACGTCATATTACATTAATTGCGGTGTCCATATAAATTTTGCTTGCTCAAATTCTAGTGTTACCGCAGCTCCAGTCAAGTCAGTTTTTTAGTGATTTAAGTGCAACTTGATTTTCCATCTCTGACATTACTTGGTGTCTTCTGTCACTTTACATGTATTTTTTTTTTTTGCATGCAGTTTTAATATTGGTGTAAAAGAATGTATTAGTCAATTATCACACTTCTAAACAATGTCTCCACTGGGGCCGTTTGATATGCATACCACTGAATAATTACAAACTTTGTTTTTGAAGTTCTGAAGTAATAATTAATTAATTTTTTTGTATTGGTGTGATGTTGTGTGGCACTGGTGTTGACATTCACTTGTTGTTCACAGATGATAGATCTGTTTATTGTGCTAGTGGCTGTGTGTGTGTGGTGGCCTCAGTAGGAATGAAGGAGCGATCTAGGGGCGGATGTGGACGTGATGCGGTTTGGGGTTAATCTTCTCCATGCGTGTGGTGAATTAAGACTGTACAGAGACCGGCTGGCGGGTGGTTTTCTCTTCCACTCACGCTGCTTTCCTCTAAACCGCTGTTTGCTCCTCTTCGCCCTCCCTCGACTTCTCTTCAATTCGATGGTGCAGAGGGAACAACAGCTGTGTGGAAATTAGTTCCAGTTAGGGAAACCCAGCAAAGAGACTCTTTAAAGATTAATGCTATTGAGAAGTGGTGAATGTTTACAGTGGCCATTGCAGGGCACGTATGCTGTATTTAACTTAACCGAAACCGCGATAAAATGTTTCTTCTTGTGTGAACGTCTGCTTGTGAAATCTGTCGTGTGTTTAAAGTTTAAGTGGCCATTAAACTCAAAGCATTATCTATCTACTGATTCTCATGAATATGAGTCATAGGTATTTAGTCACTTGTCTCAGGCTAAATATGGGATAAAAATAAATAAATGAGAGTCTTGAGTCAAGAGTGTTAAATAGTACAAATGAAAAATATTATTAATTTACTGCAGTCAAATGTTACAGGTAAATTGGGTCCAAAAAATGAGACCACTAGCAAAAACTTTTTTCCTTTTGCATTTTTCAAATGTATTTGTATTTGCATTATTTTTTTATTTTACATTTATAACGGTCAGTTTTTTCTAAATCCTCAAACGTTGTTTATTTCCAGGTTTAAATAGGATTTTTATTTATTTATTAGTGGATGCAGATGTTTGAGCCCCACTGTATGGTTTTGGTTCTTTCTGAAGGCCGCTTTTGAAACCTTTGACCTTTTGTGTTTTTCAGTCAATTCTTCAGATGTGTTCACTGATCCACTTGATTCAACAATTATGTGGACTGTAAATTACAGCGATACAGTAAGTGTTTCCCTAAAACATCAATGAAATATGTGTAAAGGCTGGAATTACTCTTTTTAACAGATTAGTTTTTTACAGATTTTAAAACTCCTCTGCATTATACGCTTGTCGACTTTGTAAATGGTTACCGAGTAAAACGACTGAGGATCACAAAAAACATGTACCTCATTGTGATTTTCTGTGAAATCTGTCCAAAATCTGCAGACAGGCTCTGACTTTCAGCAACTAGCATTGACTCTTCCAGACTGGAAAACTTGTGTAGTGTACTGTATTCCAGTCTTAAGACTTGTTAGATTCATTGAGGTCACCCAATAGAACTTACACAACACATTAGAGAAAACTTCCTTGTTCTAGTTTTGTTCAGAAAATGCATAGTTCTTTTTTTAATCCTTAAATTGTTGGCTGTTTCCTAAAACATTTTCTCCAGACCTGGCTGACGTTTTGTCCTCTTCTATCTAGCCAAACCAATCTCCCAGCTGCGAATAATAGAGAAAGATCTCTATGACAATGGTTTTTATTCAGATGTAGTCCTCAGTTTGAGATCAATGAAACATAATGCCCAAATCCATGCCAACATCTTTGTGACTGAATGAGCCATAGCTCATGTTTCGCACCTTTTGTGTAAACTTGAACAGTAACAGAGTCATTGTCTAACTTCAGAGAGGTCGAAGACAACAAAACAGAAACTAGAGAGCGTTTGATGTTCGTTAAAGGGATACTCCACCCAAAAATGAAAATTCTGTCATCATTTACTCACCCTCAAGTTGTTGCAAACCTGTATGAGTTTCTTTCTTCTGCTGAACACAAAGGAAGATATTTTGAAGAACGATTGGAACCAAACAGTTGTTTGGCACCATTGACTTCGGTGCCCCACAACTGTTTGGTTCCAATCGTTCTTCAAAATATCTTCCTTTGTGTTCAGCAGAAGAAAGAAACTCATACAGGTTTGCAACAACTTGAGGGTGAGTAAATGATGACAGAATTTTCATTTTTGGGTGGAGTATCCCTTTAACAGTCTTTGTTCATAACATAAGTGTCTCTCAGCTTGGGGATGTCACGATTTTGTGTGAATGAACTGAAATTTTATTTTAAAAATCGACATCTGTAGGTTTGATATTCTGATCATGTATTTTTATGTCATTTGTGCAGCGCTTGAATGCCAGCTGGTCCTCCCTGTCAAAGAAGGAATGCCTGAAATACGGAGGGGAGCTAGTGGGCAAAGCCTGTGACTTTGTGCCCGACATCACCCTCATGTCCTTCATCCTTTTCTTTGGCACCTACACCTGCTCCATGTGTCTGAAGAAATTTAAGACCAGCCCATTCTTTCCTACTACTGTAAGTAGCCACACTCTCAATCTGTGATGGATTTGTCAATATGTGGCTCTAATCATACTGCATGTGTAGAGGCAATCGATATTTAGCCAAACCCTGCCTCTAATCCATATACTGTGGGCAGGTAGACAATTGTTTTGACAATTCAGTTTCTGATCCTAATCAATACTGCAGTTGTTGAGGCAAGAGACTACTGATGTGATGCACACTACATAGCTCCTAAAAAAGCTTTTTTGTTTGTTTTTGTCATCTTAGGTGAGGAAGCTCATAAGTGACTTTGCCATTATCCTGGCCATTTTGATCTTCTGTGGTGTCGACGCTCTGGTTGGGGTAGAGACGCCAAAGCTCATAGTGCCAAGTGAATTTAAGGTAAACTTTCTGTTCGTATTGTCTGTCTGTTACTGTAAAGAGATGTTCCTTTTGAGGTGCACTTCTAAAATTGCTACAGGATAGACTGTTCAAATGTTTTGTTCAAAAAAAAAAAAGAAAAAAGAAAAAAAAGAAGTTTGTTGTGCTCACCAAGGCTGCATTTATTTGATTAAAATAAAGTAGAATATACATTTTGTGAAATATTACCATTTAAAATAATATTTCTATTTGAAATAAAAGTAATAATTCACATGCTTCCAAACATGGAAGTCATTATGACATTGACTTATCTTAACATAATGTGTTATTTTGAGTTTTTTTGTGATTATCTGGAAAAACAAACAAAACGAAATCAGTAGCAAACAAGCAATACGTTTTAGTCACTGTCTAATAGAATTGCGTGAATAAATAGCCTAATCAAGAGATGAATTGTCCTGCATTAGATGTTATTTATTTGTATCACATATCTTGGGGGACAGTGGGGTGTTTCTACCCAGGTTACCTGAGGGTCTGCTTAATAGCAATGGATTTTGTTCAGGAAGAACATATATTAGAGTGTACATTGGCTGGCACGCTACTTGCCAATCCACTCAGGACATTACTGTTTGTATCCTGTACATATTTGCCAAGTGCCACTTCTGTGATCCTCAAACTGCATTCCTCTCATGTCCTCAGCCAACAAGCCCAAACCGTGGCTGGTTTGTGCCACCGTTCGGAGGGAACCCCTGGTGGGTGTACCTGGCAGCAGCTCTGCCTGCCCTGCTGGTCACCATCCTGCTCTTCATGGATCAGCAGATCACCGCTGTCATTGTCAATCGCAAGGAGCACAAGCTTAAGGTAGGCCTGCCGTGAGTCTGCTGTGTGACTCTCCCCCAAGCCAGATGGTTTATCACGCTCACTTTGAGCCACCCAGGACCACAGGAAACACTCACAGTGCCGGGGGGCGACTATATCGGGATATTTATAGAAAGTCTCTTACAGATATAGCCTTTTAATCTTTTGTCTGGAGGATGTGAATCAGCACTTGGAGTCAAAATTAGCATTATTCAAACAGATGGTCTGAGAAACTGATAGAAGCCAAAGGGGGAAAAGCTGCCATAAATAATCCAGAAATTAATATTTGTTCAATTCTTAATTTGAATTGAAAACTGAAAGAAAAGAAGTTAGATTTTGTAATATAATAATTTTAATAGCTAGATAGGCTTTGTTTATAATCAAGAAATATATATAAGTATGAATTATAAGTCAGGGTTATTATACAGTATTTAACTGAAACTAAACTAAAACCATAAAACTTATTTCATTTCAGCTAGTTGTCAAGGGGAACATTTTTTTATTTTCATTTGCTAAAATGTACTATGTACTGAAATAACTAAAACTGAAAAGAATGAATAAAAACTAGATAGACATTAATAAAAATGTATACAATGAAAAACAAAATTACAACAAAAAAATTACTAAAACGGAACATATAAAAATAAAAACTAATAAAAAATATCAATACAATCCATAATAGGATCTTAATCCTAAAATAATATTGTTATGTATTATATAAGCGATTTCACCCCACCATCACACTTTAGGTCCACATTGTTGTAACATATTCTGAGTAGTAGAACAAAGAGGAATTGTGAATCAGACAAAAGCCAACCATTTATTCTCTTGTGGCCTGTAATGTGAGACTGGCTTAAAAACATTGTGTCCTCTCACTATAATGCCTCCCCATGGAAGAACTCCTATTGTCATCTCTGTGAGAATTACACTGCCCTGGAGACATATTGTACTGTACATTTGTGTGATGTAGTGTAGTTTTATGCAATAACAACATAATCAGTGTCTATGATTATATTTATAAAATCATAAATGGATGCTGCCTATTGGGACCTTACTTGTTCCAATCCTTAAAACCCACCCTAATCGCCTCTCTCCAAGCTGATACACGATGGGAATAGGGAGAAGAATAGGACTGGGAAACACGATGGGAATAGGGAGAAGAATAGGACTGGGAAACGGTGGATTTGAACTTGGGATCTACTGTAACACATCAAAAGCTGAATCTACCATATTATCCACACCACTGTCCCACTTACTAAATTGTAAATTCGAAATTGTCATGTTTTTGTTGTTTTTAACAAGACACCAGTCCACTATTTTTATGACGCTTTGTTTGTTTTGGACCTTGACAGACATGATCAAGACATTGGAAAAAGCTAAAAGAGCTCCTTAAATGATGTTCAGTTAAAAAAAAAACAGCATACAAGTTTAGTATTACAAGAGGCTGCTAAAAATAATCATTACTGGGCAAACTATTCCTGCAAACTGTCACTGACCACTGTTATCAGTCATCAAATGTTTTTGATTCCTCTAATAACATTTTGTGACCATCCTTCATCTTTGTCTCGATCAGAAAGGTGCAGGCTATCATCTGGACCTGTTATGGGTGGCTGTGCTGTTAGCGGTGTGCTCTTTCATGGGTCTGCCATGGTATGTAGCCGCGACTGTTATTTCCATCGCCCACATTGACAGCTTGAAGATGGAGACTGAGACGTCCGCCCCTGGCGAACAGCCTAAATTTTTGGGTGTCAGGTATGTTGTAAAGCATATAAAAGATGAGATGATTTCTTGTATATTTGTACAGTGTCATAGATCTGACTATAACAGCTTTTGCGTCACTCGTTGACTACAGTTTTGGGCTCAGTGGGGCGCCTTTTAAAAGTCTGTATGTTGGACTGAACTCTAGGGGGCTTTATTGATGCAGCTGTAAGCTGTACAAACGTGAACAGGCCTAGGTCTGCCGAAAACACACCAGCAGTATTTAGGTCGTATTTTTAACACTTCTCTGGTTTGGTTAACCAATCCAATATGTTTCTCAAAGTATTTCAAATAATAATGATAATCAATATTTCCATTCATAATTGGGGGTCTAATGGTTAAGGAATTGTGCTGGTAACTGCAAGGTCGCAGGTTTAAACTCGTAAACTATCACCTGTATGCCCCTGACCAAGGAACTAAACTTCAAGTTGCTCCAGAGGGACTGTCACTGTAATAAGTGTACTGCAAGTCACTGTGGATAAACATGTCTGCCTGTTGAATTCTTCCTATAATTAAAACAATATTACACTACATGTTTGTTTGTATAAGATGATAGTATGGCTATATGATATTATTGCTGTATACACACTAGTAATGGGTGCAGCTGAAAAAGCCAACCCTGTAATTATAAGGTGGTGCCCACATACAGTACCTTTCAAAATGTTGGGGTCAGCAAGACTTTTATTCTGCAAGAATGCATCAAATTGATTAAAAGTCTCTAAGGACATGTATAATGTTACCAAAAAAAGTTGTTCTTTTCAACTTTCTATTCATCAAAGAATCCTATAAAAAATATACTATGGGTTGTAAAAAAAGAAAGAAAGAAAAAGCAGCACAACTGTTTTCAACATTGAAAATAATAATAAATGTTTATTGAGCAGCATATTAGAAAATAATAATAAATGTTTATTGAGCAGCATATTTGAATGATTTCTGAAGGATCATGTGACACTGAAGACTGGAGTAATGATGCTGAAAACTCAGCTTTGCCATCACAGGAATAGATTACATTTTAAAATATATTAATGTACAAAACAGTAATTTTAATTGTTATAATATTTCACAACATGTTTACTGTATTTTTGATCAAATAAATGCAGCCTTGCTGCGCAAAAAAAAAAAAGAGCATTAAAAATTACAAAACAGTATTGTACTTTTGGCCATGTCATCAGCTGAAATGACCATAAACTGCAAAACTCTTTTTACTGTAATATATATATATATATTTTTTTTATATTTAAAATGTTGTAATTGTCTCCTCCTCAGGGAACAGAGAGTCACTGGTGTCTTTGTCTTCCTTCTCACCGGTCTGTCTGTCTTCATGTCCCCTATCCTCAAGGTAATGATACAGTGCATCCAGTAGCGTCAAACGCACCGCTGCGTGTGTGTGATTTTTTTCTTTTTTTTTTTTCTTTGAATTTTCTCAAACCCACAATGGCTTTGAATAATTGCATAATTATTTGCCATAGTTCATACCCATGCCAGTGCTGTATGGAGTCTTCCTCTACATGGGTGTTGCTTCACTCAACGGAGTGCAGGTGAGTTCATTAAAAACTGAATTGGGAAAGCCTATGACATTCAATTTCTGGGATGTAGAATTATAATTCAAATTTGAATCTAACAAAGTAGAATTAAACCCATGCACATTATCATGTGGGGTATTTCCAAAAGCATGAAATCATTTAAATAATCACTATTTGAAATCGGTTGATAGTAACTTATTTGGGGAAACTGTCTTTTTTGAAGAGTATTGCTCTTTGTTTCTCAGTTTATGGACCGACTCAAGCTGCTCCTCATGCCTGCCAAACACCAGCCAGACCTGATCTACCTGCGGCATGTCCCATTGAGGAAGGTCCATCTCTTCACCTTTGTCCAGATGCTCTGCCTGGCGCTCCTCTGGGTCCTCAAGTCCACTGTGGCAGCCATCATCTTTCCCGTCATGGTTAGCTACCTATTTGTGATTTAACAAATATTAATGCTAGAAGCAGATGTGGCTGCAAAACTGAGAGCTTCAGGGCTTTGAAGAGTGGCTAAAAATGACTCGTCAATTATTTCAGCCCACTAGAAACAGACACTCAAGTGCAATACTTGTGCGAAACACTTCCGTTTCATCATCTGTGGTGTTTGCGCTAACTGAAAAGGCACCATTTGCTGTTTTCTCATTGGTCAGATTTTGGCTCTGGTTGCTGTGAGGAAGGCCATGGACTATGTCTTCTCCCAGCATGACCTCAGCTTCCTGGATGATGTCATACCTGAGAAGGACAAGAAAAAGAAGGAGGATGAGAAGAAAAAGAAAAAGAAGAAACAAGGGAGCATAGACAGCGACATGGAAGATGTGAGTTTCCTGAAAAATGCCACAAGCTTTTGTTTTTATATTACTATTATGAACACTTTAGACTTCGAGAAATGGGTTTAGGTTTAATCGATTGCTTTATTACCTGTGTATGATACACCTAACGGTTGAGTAATTGATGATAGATGTTTGATTATTTATTTATTAAAGGGTTAGTTCACCCAAAAATAAAAATCATGTCAGTAATTACTCACCCTCATGTTGTTCCAACCCCGTAAGACTTACGTTCATCTTCGGAACACAAATTAATATATTTTTGATCAAATCTGAGAGCTGTCTCACTCCTCCATAGGCTTCTAAGGGATTGAAACTTGCCGGCCCAGAAAAGTTAGTAAAGACATTGTTAAAATAGTCCAAGTGACTACAGTGGCTCAATCTTAAGTTTATCAAGCGACGAGAATACTTTTTGTGCGCCAAAAAAACAAAAATAATGACTTTATTCAACTATTAATTTTCTTCTCTGTGGGCCTCTGACAGTAGCACCTCATTGCAGTGCATGAGATCCAGGGGGCGGAGTTGGATCCAGATCTAAGGGGTGGAGATGGGTAGGATTAGGGGTGGGGTTAGGGATCAGGGGGCGGAGATGGGTAGATTTAGATTTATATGTAAGGTGGGAGGAGTTGGATCTGGATCCAACTCCTCCCCCTGGATTTCGTGTTCTGCAGTTAGGACCATCTCGCCTCTGATTGAGTTCACATTGTGTAACAGCGCAGCGCTTCTGTGTTGTACGTCAGAATGTAGGATTTTTATTGGCCGACGCTGGTCATGTGTGTGATGCGTGTGACTATGGAGGAGTGAGACAGCTCTCAGATTTAATCAAAAATATTTTAATTTGTGTTCCGAAGATGAACGAAAGTCTTACGGGGTTGGAACAACATGAGGGTGAGTAATTACTGACATAATTTTCATTTTTGGGTAAACTAACCCTTTAATTTATAATTTGTTTATTTAATTGAAATAGCTCCAATGACAAAGCAAAACGATTAGAAATGAATAAGTACTAAGCACCTCAGTGACACCAAGAAATTTTGTATGATTGTCAGAAAGCTATGCATTTTCTATGAAGGCTTTTTTTTTTTTTTTTTTAGTTCAGTTTAATACTATGAATATTTGGGCGGTCATGAAAGAGGAGGTGTGAACCACTCTGGTACATGAAGGTTCAGCTCCTAAAACTCTTTTTGACCGTTTCTCCCTGTGCAGTCTGACTATCCTTACAATGAGAATGTCCCCAGCATTAAAATCCCAATGGACATGATGGAGCAGGAGCCTTTTTTAGGAGATAAGGCCTCTGACAGTGAGTAGACCGGACCCGGGGCCTCAACTCAACTTGTACCTCTTTAATGATTCAGCTCGAACGTTTTGCTTTCTTCCTTTCGCATGCCGTTCACGCTACCACTTGCTCCTCTGTCACATAATACCTGTGGACTATGTCAGTCCTCTATGACAAATTACATCTTCATTACTTCTTTCCTGTCGTGATCATTTTGTTTTACTTTTGCATTTCTGTTTGCATTTACTGTGATTTTGTGTCCTGCTAACATGGATTCAGGGATCATTTTAACACTTATATCCTCTTGAATATTTTTTGCCCATCCATCTGTCTTGTTAACTGAGATTGACAAAGATGCAGAAAATATCACTCCTTTTAGATTCACTGAATCAGTGTCATTGATTTACATCAGTGAAACTGATGATCAAGATTAAAATTAGTCATTTAGCATGTAACAAGATGTCCTCTGTGATTTCTTTTTTACTAAAACTTTGTAGTTGTATTAGAATGAATAATTATCTAACGGAAATGCTAATATAAAATAATCCCGTTAACAAATCCCAGCACTCACTCAATATAGAATCCTTAGACACCTTTAGGATTAAGTGAATCTGCTTCTTTTTTTGTGCATGTATCCACTGTGAAAACTGTGCTAGTGCCGTTCATCCTGCATGGTGTGAATGCATGATGTTGGTGTACAGTGCTGGTGTTCAGCAGAACGTGAAGTCATGCATGTGCTAATAATGAATCATGTGTCCCTCTTGCAGGAGAAAAGTCCCCTTCATTCCTCGACCGATATTCATCGTGCTGAAAAGCGGCACTACTTTCAGACAAGTCCGATGTCAAGGTATGCATCTGTATGCATTAGTAGTATTGCATTAGTAGTATGTATTTATAGTATGGCTGTATAACAACAGATGATATTGAGAAGTGAAAAATGTGCTCTTAAGAACATTTAATTAAAATGATTAGATCCATGTTCAGATTTTGCATACATTTATTTATATATTTATACACTCACCTAAAGGATTATTAGGAACACCTGTTCAATTTCTCATTAATGCAATTATCTAATCAACCAATCACATGGCAGTTGCTTCAATGCATTTAGGGGTGTGGTCCTGGTCAAGACAATCTCCTGAACTCCAAACTGAATGTCAGAATGGGAAAGAAAGGTGATTTAAGAAATTTTGAGCGTGGCATGGTTGTTGGTGCCAGACGGGCCGGTCTGAGTATTTCACAATCTGCTCAGTTACTGGGATTTTCACGCACAACCATTTCTAGGGTTTACAAAGAATGGTGTGAAAACGGGAAAACATCCAGTATGGGGCAGTCCTGTGGGCGAAAATGCCTTGTTGATGCTAGAGGTCAGAGGAGAATGGGCTGACTGATTCAAGCTGATAGAAGAGCAACTTTGACTGAAATAACCACTCGTTACAACCGAGGTATGCAGCAAAGCATTTGTGAAGCCACAACACGCACAACCTTGAAGCGGATGGGCTACAACAGCAGAAGACCCCACCGGGTACCACATATCTCCACTACAAATAGGAAAAAGAGGCTACAATTTGCAAGAGCTCACCAAAATTGGACAGTTGAAGACTGGAAAAATGTTGCCTGGTCTGATGAGTCTCGATTTCTGTTGAGTCATTCAGATGGTAGAGTCAGAATTTGGCGTAAACAGAATGAGAACATGGATCCATCATGCCTTGTTACAACTGTGCAGGCTGGTGGTGGTGGTGTAATGGTGTGGGGGATGTTTTCTTGGCACACTTTAGGCCCCTTAGTGCCAATTGGGCATCGTTTAAATGCCACGGCCTACCTGAGCATTGTTTCTGACCATGTCCATCCCTTTATGGCCACCATGTACCCATCCTCTGATGGCTACTTCCAGCAGGATAATGGACCATGTCACAAAGCTCGAATCATTTCAAATTGGTTTCTTGAACATGACAATGAGTTCACTGTCCTAAAATGGCCCCCACAGTCACCAGATCTCAACCCAATAGAGCATCTTTGGGATGTGGTTGAACGGGAGCTTCGTGCCCTGGATGTGCATCCCACAAATCTCCATCAACTGCAAGAGGCTATCCTGTCAATATGGGCCAACATTTCTAAAGAATGCTTTCAGCACCTTGTTGAATCAATGCCACATAGAATTAAGGCAGTTCTGAAGGCGAAAGGGGGTCAAACACAGTATTAGCATGGTGTTCCTAATAATCCTTTAGGTGAGTGTATATTACTATAATTCAATAAGGATGCTGATAATGAAAGCCACTTCAATTTCTAGCAACAACATACTTTGTCAAGGCTTCTTGATTACATAATATCACCTCTATTAAGTTGTTCAAATAATGCACTTAGGCATTTGAACCACAAGTTAAATTGTTTCAAAGAAATTATTGGTAGTTATTGGGAAGTCATTTGAATACCTATTAGGAAGTTGACTGTACTCATCTGTATTTTTCAGTTCAGAGAGACTGCCATTAAATGTGCCTCAGATTAAAATAGACATGGACCCAGATGACAGCAATGCCTTCTACTGGAGAAGTCGAGGGTCCGAGACGTCCATATAACTCCTCCAGCCAATCTGCAGCATAGATTTTATTAAGCTTATCCAATTTGCTGAAAGCCATTTACCATGGGATATTTTGTAAAAACTCTTCCCCATCACGGATCCTTTCTGTGAAGACTTAAGAACGGCTTGAGGAACACTTGTCTTTCACTCACTTAATTATTATGGTTTGCAAATTGTAATCCCTAAACTACTATGCAATTCAGTTCATTGTTTCACTTATGTGCTGAGCTGTAGAGAAATGCTGTAGCTGTTTCCCACAATTCCAGAACTACTTCCTCCATTATTCATCCAATACAATATGAATCTTTCCACCAAATTCACTTACCATGCCACTATTTTCCTTTTATTTTTTGCTGCTCTACCTCTGTTTTGCATGGTAGGCATTATGTAAAAAAAAAAAAACACTTTTCACGTTTTTTTATTTTTTATTTGCACAGCATGAGATTTTAATGTTGATCTTTTTTAGTGTATATCTTGAGCAAACTATTCAGCAAATTATTTCTGTTATGATGAGAGCGAACAACTGTGACATAATATATTGTAATATTTAACTTGATTTAACTTTTAAATGATGATTAATGTTATTGATTGGCACTGAACCAGCTGTTTTTCATAGTTTCATTTAATATATAATGTGGTATTAAATTTTATTTGTTTCCTTTAACAAACAATGTTTATGCCTAAGTATCCAAACATTTTCTAATAAGCTTGATTAATTAAGAAAGCCTAATTCATTTTGATTTTCAAGTCTTGTTAGACATTTGCTTCCTCACCTGGTTTTGGAAACCATAAAAGGTCTACATGTGTAAACCTACATGTACTCTGTCATCCTGCAAATTATTTACCTAAGTGGCTTAAACCTGAATTGCAATAATACATGAAATTCCTTTAGGTTTAAGATTTTTTATTATTATTATTTGTGCACTATTTACATGATGTCTAGCATTGAATGTCTTATTGTGTAATTTGTTAAAATAAGTCACAAAATGTCAACAGTGGTATGCATTTGAATGAAGATTTTCAGAGGACAGGGAAATATGTCATACAGTGCATGTCTAAAACATGTTTTCTTTGAGCCTTGATTCTTCAAGAACCCAAAATACTATATTGATTCCTGCTAATTTGTCATTATTCTCCCACCTTTTCATCACTTCTCCTCTTTCTTTCAAAAAACATACAAAAAAAAATCAATAGATCTTACAGATACTGTCATTTCAAAATCAACTTTGAACCTTGTAAGTATACGATTTTTAACTTATATATTTTTGGGGGTACATAAAAACACGAAATTATTGTGAAAGCATGTCTGGGGAAATTCTTGAACGTTTTAAGCAATGCTAAATATTAATTGTAGAGTGTGTAACTGAAACTTTTTTAATCAAGTTTTGTGACTTTTTTGAAACAAAACAGCTGAAATTATTTTAGAATTTATATTTTTCAAAGGAAATGAATATTAAAAATGAACAGAATTTATTAAATGGTCTCCTCGTTTCTTCTTTTGTGCATTGTGTTTTTATATTTTTGCTTTTTCCCATCAGTATCATTTTATCTGCTACGTAGAGTACATTCAATGTCAAAACCATTTATTTAAATTTTACTCAAAAAACAAACAAAAGTATTTGCAACATATCTAGTTTGATATATTCATTTGCCCCTATTTAGACTATCAAACCCATTTAATCCAACTTATGCTGCTCCATCAATATCCAATAAAATGACATTTTATTGTATATCTATATTTGTAGTAAATTTGGGGACCAAAACAATCTTAATGTGGGTTTATTTTTATAACATTTACAAATAATAGTGATTTATACCGTTTACCTTAATTAATATTCAAGGTTAAACATAACATATATGGTCATGCATAGGGTGGGCAAAAAGTGAAGGTCATGTAATTTACAATCTTGCATTATAACAATCTTGACTAATTGTCAACCTTGATTATTACTTGCCTTAGCTGTTCACACTGAATATGACACAATGTCACCATCTAGTGTTCAGACTTAACATTGCAGAGTAGTGGGAGGTCCCATGGCATACACTTCAACATCTAATTTAGTGAATGTTGAATTTCATAAAATTGCTTTTTTTTGCTGAGGATGAAGGGTGTTGGAGAGAAGAGAAAGAGAAATAAGGATTAATTAATAGAATAATTAAATATAATAATTCCATTTTAACCTGTGTAGTCACAAAAATGTTTTACTTAATGCCCATTTGAACTAATATCACTTTCCAAGCCTTTCAAAATCATTAGCATTATTAGTGCATAATGTGACATTAAAACCCTCCTACGCCAGCAAGGCTCATGACAACAGAGTGCAGAATAATTACATGTTTGGCAGTTACTTTTCAATTTAGTATAGGAGAAAAGGTTACGTATGTAACCCATTTCCCTGAGAAGGGCAATGAGACGCTGCGTCATGGTTTCGACACATTGGGAAGACTCCACGTGAACCGGTGTCTAAAACATGTGAATACACGCCAATTTGGATTGGCTATACGACAGACAGATGACGTCACAGGGGCACCGACAAGAGTCTGAAGAACACGTCATCAGCTGCAGATTTTCTGAAGTGGCCACAAGACATAGCGTCTCCTTCTCAGGGAGCCGGGTTTCATAAGTAACCTAAGACATTCCCATTTGAAGTGGAACTTCGATGCTGCGTCATGGTGTTGAATGTTAAAACCCACTGTGGCATACTGAACAAATGCCTGCTCACTGTGCTGTGAAATTAAGTGTGAAATTAAAGTTGGCCTACTGCTAATCCAACCATAAAAACCCCTTGGCCAAAGCTCTAATGGGCAACCTAAATCGAAGGGAGCATATAATTAAGCGGCTTCAAGGACTAGAAGAGACATCAGGAGAGAGCAGTGCTTTCTCTCAACCGTCTGCTCTACCCTCAAGTGCCTCAAGGAGAAATATCAAACCTTCAGGAGATCTGAGCGCAAATGGCAACGATGTCCACTTTTTTAATGGTCTGTTATTCCATTACTCCTCTTTACAAACCGTTACAAACGTGTTAAAATAGTTCCACCATTATGTCCACACTATCCCCTCCAGGTCCATGCTGGAGAGGCAACAGGCGAGGGAGTGAGACGCGAGTGGCAGTAATGCCCATTTCCTTTTTTTGTACATCCAATTCATATGTGATTACAAAGGAAAGCACATTAACGCAATCCTCATATAGGCCCTCTACAAGGGGTGAACAAGGGGTTACACTCTGTGAACAGCCCCTTCCTTCTCATCATCATAAGGGAAGTGCAATAATACTGTCTCCATACATCATGTATTGGCCAGGGAACATTGACGTTTACTCAGAGAGGGCGACAGATGAGGAAGTGGGACGCGAGTGTTACTCTTCTGTAACAGCCCATTTATATGTGATTATAGAGGTAGCACATTGCCAACACTTTACTTTACTAACACTTCCAGTATTGGTAAAGGCGACCAACGAGGAAGTGGGATGTGTGTTTACCAGGAACGTCCTTTAATAAATCGGCCTGGTACGCTTGCATCACTGCAATGTTGCGTAAAGCGCCACCGGCCTGGCACGCTGAATTCGCCTTGCCTTTGAGCTGAGATGTGGTTTGAAAAGGCTTAAAGGGCAAGGTGGGAGCCGCTCAAGGGGAGAGATAGCCGGTGAGAGTCGTCTCACAGAGGTGGAGCATTTATGACCCGCGAGGAACATCTCCTTTACAGAAAGCCAAGTGGCAGTGAAGCTTCTTCACTGTGAAACGATCACAGTGAACACAGCCAGAGCTGACCATGCATGATGACAGATGACACATATTTTGTTTGTATCATTCCTCGTAATTCAACACAGAACAGGGCTAGATACATTTTATAAACCCACACTTTCTTCCCATACTGTTTGATTTCTTTACGAACCCACATTTCACATGCACAAACTTAAAACAAAGTGGCTTCCTGAAGACCAAAGAGCTGATGACGTGTTCTTCAGGTGGCCTTTTATAGCCTGTCAGACACCAGTTCACACAGAGTTTTCCCATGCACAGCGTCACCACCAGGATGCAGCGTCGAACTAATTAATGGCATTGTATTTAATGATTTTAGACATTCCAAAGCAAATGCACACACTAAAACATGCTGTTTTATATATAACAGCACGGATAGAGAGAGAGAGAGAGAGAGAGAGAGAGAGAGAGAGAGAGAGAGAGAGAGAGAGAGAGAGAGAGAGAGAGAGAGAGAGAGAGAGAGAGAGAGAGAGAGAGAGAGAGAGAGAGAGAGAGAGAGAGAGAGAGAGAGAGAGAGAGAGAGAGATGTATTACTGTAGCTAATACAGCCAGTAAACATCAATGCTAAATCATAGCATTTTCAGTTCTTTTCATTTTAAGCAAAACTAACATTTTGGAGTTATAGTGGTTTTGTCCAGCTGACCACAAGGCTTTAAGGAAATGTTCAGTACATATTCTTTTTTTTTCATCATTCTGTTATGCTGCCGGATTAGATGTGATCCAGACAGCTGTAGCAGAAGTGAGTCTTTGTTCTGTTCTGATCAATACATGTTGCCATATTAGTACAGGAAGAATAGGTTTGAGGGCCTAAAAAACATCTTGCATTCTAGTTAAGTCATGTGGTTCACACTCCTTACTCAGTGCATCACCATCAGAAACATTTTTAAGTGATGCATAACATCCTAGCATGAACTCAATTTAAAAACTACTTTTGAATCCAAAAATCCATTAAAATCACTAGAACTCAGATAAACTGCCGCATTCAAAAGAGTTTTGAATTGGCAAAGAAAGCTGAAGTCCACTTCTGTACCAATGGAGCAGCTTGATAAGAAAAAGTTCCCTCAAACTAAAATTGGAGAAGCCTTCGTCAGCAATGCGAGATAGAGATACAATTCACTGTGGACTGCTTCTTTCTCAAGCTCTCTTTATTGCTCCAGGAACCTCATGTGACCAATACAAACCATATCCATTTTGAATGAGTATTATGTAAGAATCCTGTTGAGAAAAACAAATGTTAAAGGGACAATGTGTACTTTTTTATGTATTTTATTATTTAAAATCAATTTTTTTATATACATGGGACGGGTAGGTCCACGGAGGCTTCCATGCAGTTCCGCCATCTTGAAAAACTATAATAGCAGAGAGGGACAAAAAGTACTAGGCCAACGTGTTTCCACAGCGCGTTTTCGTTCAGAGCCAGCGTGACGTAACTGAAAGCAGCAGAAACGGAGAAGCAGAGCAGTGAGAGGCGCTTGTCACTGCCCCGGCAAGTTTAAAGGGACACTATGCAGCTTTTTTAGCTTAACTGAACAGCTTCAGAGTTATTGAAATGGTTATATAACTTCTTTCGGGTTGAATGGTGGGCGTCTCGACCCCCCCTGGTGCCTGTGAGCGAAAAAATCTCACTTGCAACTTCGGTGCGGCGGGCCGCGTCAGGAAGTATCGCGTGATATCAGCTCTCGCGATGTAACATATTCCTTTACGGCAACTGCACACATACACACAGGAACAAGGTATAGATGGATGGAGTTTGTCACACTATCGTCATGGCTGAGCCGGCATATAAGATGCAGAAAGCTAGGAAAGCATTGTCGGAGGAACAGAGAAAGAGGAAACGGCAGACTGACCGAGCGAGGAGTCGGACACGAGCATAGGCATAATTTGCGGGTGTGTTATGTCCCCATTGAAACTTCTCGCGGCACGGATGTAACGTGACCATTACAAACAAATAAAACATCTCCAGGTAACTCTAGTAGAGCATTCATTTCGTTCATTTGTTAAATAAGAGGCGATCTGAAATGTGTTATTTTTGAAATCAAAAGACCAAAGTGCTCGTTGCCTCTGCGATCAGTGGTGCAGATAAGTTACAGTGTTCTGTTGTGACGCGCGCCTGAATCCGTTGCGGGGACTGAGAGACTCTCTATATTTTGTTATGGTGAAATCACAAAACCTAATGCACAAAAAACATGTCCCTGCTTGAAATACAACCACTAATAAACAATCGGTTTTGATGAGGAAAATAAACTATACTACTAGTACCGATTAGAACCCAGAACCTCTGACACACTTGGCAAAAGTTCTGCCTCTGGACCATTAAAATTGTTGGATGTATTTAATCACGTGAAAATTCTCACCACTAACAACATATATTATATCTCATTAAACGACAAATTAAACACAATGTACTATTGTATACTATGTAACAGGCCATGTCACGCTCTGAGTGAGTGGTATTTACGACAGTAACGTTAAATTCAAGTACTCCACAGTAACTTTAGGGGTCGCTGTTTGACAAAAACGGGATTTCTGCATAATGCCCCTTTAAAAGGCTGCATTGCAAATCCTCGTCGCCAGAAAAGTCCAAACATAGATAGTAAAAGGAAACGTGACCGAAGATTACAAAAAACACGAGTTAATGTCGGGATAGCTTTTTCCAGGTGGATAGAGCTAATGCAGGAGAAAGATTTCAAAAGAGACGCTGAAGTCCTGCTTTCTTCTC